CCCAAACTTTTTGGCACCAGGAATCAGTTTCATGGAAGACAAATTTTCCATGGACCAGGGTGGTGAGGGAATGGTTTCAGTTTCGCTCAAATGCCTGCCACTCATCTCCAACTGTGTGGCCCAGTTCCTAACAGGCCATGGATAAGTACCAGGGTTTGGTAACCCCTGCTATATGATATGAAATAATAAAAAAGAATAAAAATAAAATTTATTGTTGAACACAAAAAAACCAATTGAAGTGTCTTTTTCTCTTTTCTTAATAATATTCCAAGCTTGCTATTAATAAATCAATGCTTACCCTTGAATAAAGGTCTTTATCATTTAGTAATTTATATTAATTGTCTTTTAAATGTATTATTATTTAAACCAATCACTCTGGGCAGTGGGAGGAGCACTTATTTGGGTAAAATTCCAGAGCTTGTTTCTGGCACATATTTCTATCCCAACCTCACAATTTCTTATCTTCTTGGCTAATGGTTGAAGGTGTTGGCCCCCTCATTGAATCAAATACTGTGCTAAATTTTAATAGATTATTAACTGCTTGTTATTGAATTGCCTTGTGTATATGCTAGCATAAAAATATTTACTACTTTTCCTATAAATTTTAGTGCTTATTATTTGATTGTTGTAAATCTTTAGGTCAAAATATTATTTATTATATAATATTGATTGGGCAATAATTATACTTTCATTTTCCGAGTTCCACAATGCAGCAAGCTGTTTAATAATAGTTTAATAGCTTAACAGCTGCTACAATAGCTGTTTAATAGCTAACTTCCTGACAAAACGTACTGGAGAAGTCTACTTATAATAATCCATATGAAGTACTGTAGATATGTAGAAGCCAGCTTGTCACATTTTTGATGGACACAACTATCACAATAAGAAACCGATGAATCATTTCATTCTAATAATGCCTGAGTCATCATTTTTCCTGACAGCATTTAGGAGAGTCTTGTCAAAAAATGGATCATCAGTGAGCAATCTTTTAGTATCCCAGGATTTGTAAGGCTCTCAAAAGGAAATGGGTTTTATTTCCTTTTTTTCCCTTCCTCATGTTTTTTAGTGGGTGATGGCTTTCCTTTGTTTCTCTGTTAAATCTAGCGTAAGATTTTTTAAAGTTTTCATTTATTTATCTATCTTAGTTTTAGCCAATATTTGATATATGACTCCAAGAAGAAACACATCCAAAACAACTACAATTATTTGTTCCATTAAAAGGAATGATACCCAAATACTTTATTTAGGAATGAAAACTTTACAATTACCAGAAGTTCTTAGTTTTAAATGAAGTGGGAACTGATTTGATGTGGCACTTAAAAACACCAGGTGAGATACCCGAGATTGAGAATTCTTGCCCCGCCTTAGGCACAAAGCCAACTGAATGACCTTAAGCCAGTCACTCCCTCTTAGTTCTGGGAAGAAGGCAAAATAAAATGTTGCTAAGAAAACTGCATGGATTTATCTTTTCATTTCTTAAAGTTAGGACTGATTTGAAGGCACATGTGTGCATTCATGTATACTCACAAAATAGACACACAAGGACAAGTTTGGTGTGGAGGAAATCAAATGAGCATTATTAAAAGACCCAGAGCCATAATAGTTTGGGATAATAGCAGAAATACTTAAGTGGTTATAAGTGTTTCTAGTACATGCAAATCAGAGCCTTAGCCTCTAGCATCTTTATGTTCAAGAGCAATAGCAAAGCAACTCTTAAGCAGATTACACAATTACTGCATATAATTTCAGAATTGTTTACCAAACAGGAATGCAAGGTGAGCTAATTGGGCAGTGTTAATCCAGGCTAACAGGAAATTTAGCCCTTTTAGCAAATAGGATTTTTTTAATCAGTGTTTTAATTCTAAATGCCTTCCTTCCCTGATGCTGTTTGGACAGGCTGATGCTCTACTACAGGGGTCTTCAAACTTGACAGCTGTAAGACTTGTGGACTTTAACTCCCAGAATTCCTCCTCCAGTCATGTTAGCTCAGGAATTATGGATGTTGAAGTCCACAGGTATTAAACTTGCCAAGTTTGAACACCTTGCTCTACTACAAAGTGGACTTTCATGATAAGCCCAATGTTAACCTAGAGTGGAGCCAGAGCATTTGAAAGTGGGATGCACAGGAACTGTCTTTAAGAAAGAGAGCTGGTTTTCTGCACAACTGTCAGGTCAACAGTCTTTCCCCTCAAAAGATAATTGCAAAAGAAGTTGGATGTTCCCAAAGTGCTGTATCAAAGCACATTAATAGAAAGTTATGTGGAAGGGAAAAGTGTGGAAGAAAAAGGATGACTGCAGCCTGGAGAGGATTGTCGGGAAAAGGCCATTCAAAAGTGTTGGGGACTTTCACAGGGAGTGGACTGAGGCTGGAGTCAGTGCATCAAGAGCCACCACACACAGACGGATCCTGGACATGGGCTTCAAATGTCATATTCCTCTTGTCAAGCCGCTCCTGAACAACAAACAATGTCAGAAGTATCTTACTTGGACTAAAGAAAAACAGAACTGGTCTGTTGCTCAGTGGTCCAAAGTCCTCTTTTCTGATGAAATCAACTTTTGCATCTCATTTGGAAACCAAGGACCCAGAGTCCGGAGGAAGAATGGAGAAGTACACACTGCAAGATGCTTGAAGTCCAGTGTGAAGTTTCCACAGTCTGTGTTGATTTGGGGAGCCATGTCATCTGCTGGTATTGGTCCACTGTGCTTCATTAAGTCCAGGGTCAATGCAGCTGTCTACCAGGAGATTTTGGAGCACTTCATGCTTCCTTCCACAGACAAGCTTTATGGGGATGCTGACTTCATTTTCCAGCAGGACTTGGCACCTGCCCACACTGCCAAAAGCACCAAAATCTGGTTCAATGACAGTGGGATTACTGTGCTTGATTGGCCAGCAAACTTGCCTGACCTGAACCCCATAGAGAATCTATGGGGCATTGCCAAGAGTAAGATGAGAGACATGAGACTGAACAATGCAGAAGAGCTGAAGGCCGCGATTGAAGCATTCTTGGTCTTCCATAACACCTCAGCAGTGCCACTGGCTGATAGCTTCCATGCCACACTGCATTAAAGCAGTAATTGCTGCAAAAGGGGCCCAAACCAAGTACTGAGTACATATGCATGCTTATCCTTTTCAGAGGTCCGATATTGTTCTATGTACAATCCTTGTTTTATTGATTGCATGTAATATTCTAATTTTCTGAGATTGTGGATTTGGGGTTTTCATGAGTTGTAAACCATAAACATCACAATTATGACAAATCACGGCTTGAACTATCTTGCTTTGCATGTAATGAGTCTATCTCATATATTGGTTCCACCTTTTAAGTTGCACTACTGAAATAAATGAACTTTTGCACAATATTCTAATTTTTCGAGTTTCACCTGTAGTGTACAGTAACACAAATGGAAATGAAACAGGTTCAAAGAGGGGCACTAAGGGTGCTGTCAGCCTTGCACAGTAGTCCAGATAGAAAGCATGCCCAAATTAACTAATTTTACTTTGTTGTAAAGTTACATGAATCAAATCTTGCAAATCTGAAAGTGTATTTCTCCATTGTCAACACTAGAAAGGATCCCTTCTGTGATATTAACCATGCCTCACTGCTTCTGCAAGCTAAGCTGCCCCTTATCCCATCATCCCCTTAGCTGTGACCCCTCTCCCTGTCTCTCAAGTTCCTTCTTACATATCATTACAGGTAATAAGTGAACTGAACGTTAAATCTTTATGAAAACTCGTTGGATGAAATGGGTTCATTTAGCATGAGAAGGCTTAAGGAAAATATGATTGAAAGTAACAGAAAATTGTCAAATAGATAGTTCTTTATCATCCCAGAAAATAGGTTGTGGCATAATGAATTTTAATTACAGGAAGGTAGACTCTGCTTGATCTTTCTTTAAATAAATTAAATTCTGATACATAAGTGCAAATTGCAGTTTCTCAGATAAATAATCACAATAGCATTTTTATATGTGGAATTGATTTAGGCATTTTATGGCTGAAATTCATACCCCTAAGGCCGAGCCAAAGTTAAAATTGTTTTAATATTATTCTATGTAAAATGATATTAATATAGAATAAGATTTATTATGCAGCAAAATTTGACAATGAAGTCATTGAAGTAAGAAAACCAGCAGTCCATAAATACATCACAGACTAGCACTTGATAGAGAAATAATGAAAGCCTTGGAAAAGATACTCAGGTGTAGGGTTGTTTGTAGCTATGAAGTTCAAAATTATGCAGGCAATGATTTTCCCTCTGATAGTGTATGGAACTTAAAGTTGAGTTTGGAAAAAGGATAGAAAGTGTATTGATGCTTTCAAAATGTGATGTTGGAGAAAATTTCTGACAATACCAGGAAAGCCACTCCCCCGCTTCCTCCTGATGGATCAAGGAACAAATTTTCTCAGTTGAGAATAACTGAGAAATAACTAATTAATAATAAAACAAATAACTAATTATCATATTTTGGACATATTAAAAGACTAGTAAAGTTATGAAAATCTATAATAAGATACTTTCGTATTTTTTCCTTTGTTTTTTTCAGCTGTTTGATCTAAGCCACAGGAAATAATTATGAGAAGAAAGCCAACATTTTCTAAGAAATTTAGTCGAAGTATTGTCTTAGAACATATTACTATATTAAAGGTTTCCTCATAGAACAAGGAATGGCATTTTATGCTATTGTATAAAAATGTTCAATACCAAGTTCTTTTGTAATGATAATACTTCTAGTTGCAGCATGTTTTAAATATTTGATTAATAATGAAGAATTCTCCCCACTTGATCTTTTACACTAAAGTTGACATAGAGGAGCTTAATTTTTTAAAATCTGTGTACACCATTTCCAAATTACTCTGCTATACATTTTAAGGTAGTGATACTCCTGTTTTTGGAGTTTTGACAGCCATCACACACATAACCAAATATTTTTCCAATGTCAAACAAAATTTATACTGATTTTTATTCCAGAATTCTGAGAAACATATTTTGTAAACTGAGTTCATCACAGCAATTTTATATTTATTAGAGCTTACAAAGTGTACAATTCCTTTAGGACACTAGCATTCAACTTACCAGAAGCATTTGAAAAAATTACAGTACATCTATGAGATACATTGAAAAGCTGAAATGTGTTACTATTACCCTCTTAATTACTTTGTTTGGAACATTTCTTTTGGCAGAACAGTCTGAATACAAGATGTCTTAAATTCTCATATCAATTCTTTGATAAGTACAAAAATTAGTAAGATTAACTTGTTCCATTTCAATTTCTTTTCAAAAGTAATTTGATGTGCTTCATAATTCTTAAGTGCATTTAGCAGGTGTATCCCATAAATTTGAATTTTGTACATACATTTTTAACTGAAATATTGTCTTTAGATTCATAGACACAGCTTGTCTTTTACCATACAGTGATTGCTAGAAATAACTTTTTCAAAGGACTTATGCATTGTTAAATACATCTTTCTACACCTTCCATTAGATCAAGTTTGGACCCAGAAGCATATAGACATTTAATGTATTAGGTTTTTGAAATAAAATTATGTCATTTTAAAAGGGAACCTACTATGGACTGCAGTCCAGAGTTGCATAATATACTGAAAGGACAAAAATTCTGCTCTACTATTTCAGGGGAAAAAAAGCAAGGATTTAAATAGCTAAAATTACAATATATCTCTGGTTGGGAAATATAAAGATCATCAAATTCAGCCAGATTTCTTAGATAAATTTCAATTCAATTCTTGAAATAGTATCAGCAGTAATGAAAACAACCTCTCTTTTACTTTAACTAAAATTTGAAAACAGAGATTGCAATAATTTCCAATTCAATCCATTTGAATTGAAGCTATTTTACTGTAAAGCAACTGTCAAGTGGAAAGCAAGTCATTCTGATCATTTTTGAAGTGTTTTGAGTTTGAAACATCTCTGTTTTTAGTTTAAAACAGCACTGTTCTGAGTTTAAACCACTGGGCTTCAAGCTTAAAATATTTCAAATTAATAATGGCTTTAATTAAAAGCTATGATATTGTGCTGAGAGAGTTATCAACAAAAAATTCCTTGTTATATATGACTTATATTTATTTGGAATGTATTTACTTCAATTGAACTCAAGTAACCTTCACTGGAAAATATTTTGATGTTGTCTTAAGCCAGGGAGACTAGAAAGCTAAACTAACATCCACTTATGATATTCTTCTGAGAACTCATATTGTGATGAGGCAGAATTCCAATATTGTATGAACAATTCCAGTAGTGTCAACTATAGCAAAATTCTTGTCAGCAATTAAGTAGAAAAATTTCAACCAGTTTTCTTTTACGCAAGTAATGGAATAATTTTCAGTTTTGATTTTTTTTGGGGGGTGGTACCACATACTGTTTAATCAACACAATATGGGGAGGGGGAAGTACACTGTAAAACAAGAATACAGTGTGTAAAAATGCTGTTTACATTTTGGATTATTGATATTAGCAAAATTGTTTACAGCAATTACGTGAAAAGTCCTTCAACAAAACTGACAAAGTACATAGTTTTCGCAGTTTATTCCAAGACTGCCAAATTAATTTTATCTTAACAATCTTTAGTACATGTGTCTCTAAGAGACAAGGCTTTAAATAGAACACAGCTTTATTTCTATGTAGCTATTGTTTATTTCTAACAGTTATGCAGCAGAAATTGCCAGCAGGAATTGTACCTACTATCTATCATCATTCTGAAAAATCATACTTTGCAGAGATTTATAAAATGCCTTCTAATATTTTATTTACATTTCAATATTTTAAAAGCCTTGTGTTGATCTACGCATTTCAATTTCCTATTACCACAGCCTGTGTAAAGGAAATGTTTGCCTTTGTTTTTATTTATGAAAGGAACCATTACTATATATTTAATCTTTCAGATTTCACTACTTGTACTTATTTTCTGAAAATGTAGCCAACTAAATGGCCATGTTCACTAAGTTATTAAGAAATGTTCTGAAGCAGTGTAGAATAAATAACTTTTGTAAGCTGTAATACAGCTACGTGCAGTGTGTACTGTACAATTACAGCCCCAAACCCTTTGTAAAACCCCAACATTCCTTCTTCACGTTTTATACTATTTATACAGTCTCTCATCCCTTCATACTGTGTATTGATGGGGAGAACTTCATATCCAAGGTCTGTATTGTCAATGATGGTGCGTGTCCCTTGAATATGAAGGCGATGCAAAACTGTCTCCAGTGGATAAAGCATAACATCTGCACAAAGACTGGCAGCAAAGCTTGCAATAAGTTCAGGAAAATAAGCATCCAACATGTTTTGTACAGAATTAGAGTTCTCAGCTGGGAAGCTTGAAGAATTCTCTTTCTTTAGGAAGAAGAGGACCAGTTTCTGTACTGCCGAGCTGATTATGTAATGAAGAACTCCATGCAGAACTGTTGGGAAGGTCAATGCCAATAGAGGGAGTAGTCGCTTGCTATGGGGAACTCCAAAGCCCATTGCTCTGCCTATGCCCTCTTTCAGGCAATCCAAAATTCCAGGATTATCCCGAATGATTTCACTCTGTAAGAGAACACAGTATTTCAACTAGGTAAATACCCTGAATTTATGATTACTGTGACTAGTTTAAACTTATTCAGAAAAATAAGTTGATAGAGTCTTATTAGATTTCCAACCTATTGTATTTCAGGTTGAATAGGCTTTGATTTAAAGCAGGTGTGTCCAACCCACAGCCCAGAGGCTGCATGCAACACTGGACTGCTATAACACGACTTTACCAGATTTTAACTTTTAAAATTATTATGTGATTTATATACATTAACTATATTATATATATTTATATGCGGCCCAAGATAATTTCTCTACACTCAGTGCAGCCCAGGAAAGCCAAAAGGTTGGACACTCATGATTTAAATATTATGCCAAATGATTGCTCTAAAGCTTATGAAATTGTGGAAGGCATAATTGAAAGTTTGGTTTATCCTCTAGTCTTATATTCACTTTATATTATCTTCTGTAATTGATCCATGCAAATTATACAACATTAGGTTTTTTCTGTATTCTAAGTTTTAATTTCTTGGTGACTTCACAGAATATAGTGAACCTCTAAAGGTAGTAAAAGGGGTTAAATATAGTTTGTAGAAGTAGTACAGGGGATCAGACATAGCTGTAAAGATTCTAGAACAGTGCTTCTAAACCTTGGCAATTTTAACCTGTGGAATTTTAACATGTATGTTTGTTAATCATCTAGAACAATGTTTCTGAACCTAAGCAACTTTAAAATCTGTGGACTTCAACTCCCACAAAAGTCCACAGATCTTAAAGTAGCTTAGGTTCAGAAACATTGTTCTAGATGATTAATGAACATACTCGGTATTTGCCAGCTTTGTTTTTTTTAAATTTCAGTTCAAGATCTTTGGCAGACAGAGTAGCTGTGGGTATTTGGAACCTCTGGAGACAAGTATCTTCTGGTTCTGGATGGGGTGGCATTGCCCCAAATAGTCCTGGTGTGCAATCTGGGGATCCTCCTGGACATGCTGCTCCCACTCAAACAGCAAATGGCAGTCATAACCAGGAGGACCTTTGTACACCTTTGGATGATGTGCCAGATGCGCCCACACCTGGACTGGGAGGCCCTGCTTACAGTAACTCGTACCCGTGTAACCTCCAGATTAGAATATTGTAACACGCTTTACATGGGGTGCCCTTGAAGACCATTAGCAAATTTCAACTTGTCAGAATGCAGGGGCAGCAGGTAGTAACTGCTGCCAGATATATGGCACATGTAACACCACTTGTGTGTGAGCTGCATTGGTTACCAATGTATTTCTGGTAACAATGGTGAAATTCAAGGTGCTGGTGGTTTGAGACCAGGGTACCTGAGGGATTGCCTTTTTTCCCCAGTCTTTCTACCTATCCAACTAGGACAGAGAATGGACATGCTGCAGATTCCTTCAGCCAAAGAATGTCAGCTGGCAGGAGCGAGAAAGTGAGCTTTTTCTGCAGCACTCCCGGCTCTATGGAACATCCTCCCTTCGGAGATTAAAATGGCCCCAGCCCTGTTAGTCTTTTGTAAAACCTGGCTATGCTCCCGAGCCATGGCACCACATGAGCTAAGGGTCCTGCCTCCTGGCTATATTGTTAACAGGCCAAGATATCTTGCTCTTATGTGTAAATTAGATGTTTTAACATTCTCTATTGGTTTTAATGTTTTTACTGTTTCCATTACTTTAAAATGTTTTTTAATTTTTTATTGTAATGTATGTTTGAATTGTAAGCTACCTAGAGTCATTTACTAACTATAGAAATCAATCAATCTATCAAATAAATCCAAATAAATAAATAAATAGGGACTGGAATGCACAGATTTGCAACTATCATGCTTCCAATGCAGATAAAAATTGATTATGAAGTTCTTAGAGTGCCACCAAGTGGTAAGCACTTTGAAAAGCAATGCATAGGAAGGAAACTACTTGCTGATTTGTTGGCCACGTTAGTCTCAAAACAATTATTGTTCATTATAGTTAATATGTTTTCCACATTACAGATTAAATCAGTGGTTCCCAAACTTTTTCAGTCCACCGCCCCTTTGGTGCTACAAACTCATCCTCAGTGCCCCCCACCCAGGGTTGGGATTCAGATTTCTGTGGGCGTGGCCTAAATTGAGGGTGTGGCTTTGCTGGTCATGTGACTGGGTGGGTGTGGCTTGCTGGTCATGTGACTGGGTGGGCGTGGCTTGCTGGTCACATTACCGGGTGGGTGTGGTTTGGTGGTCATGTGACTGGGTGGGCATGGTAAGGTGACTGGCAAACCAAATACAAGTGTCCTCACTTAATGGCCAGTTGTTTAGCAAGTGTTCTAATTTATGACTGGCCTCCCCAGAGCTACTTGACCTGTTTTTGGAGTTTTGACAGCCATGCACATACATACACACACACACTCCCTTCCAACCGTGCTGGAGCAGGCCATTGGACTAGAATTGGCAAAGCATCTCTGATTAGATTCTAGTAGTGAATAGAATCTAATCAGAGATGCTTTGCCGATTCTTGTTGATTTTTATTTGTATTTCTTTATTTTATGTTGCTGAGTTACATTGACATGTGTGTCCCTTCTTATGCACAAACCAGAAGCTTTTGTGTTTCTTTGCAGCAAAAATGACCGACCTCTGGCTTTGCTCTACTTTTCAAATGTGCTGCCACTGCTGCATTCTAGGTGCCGGCCCCACAGGTTCACCCCATTGAGCCCACAGCATCGAAGGGACCTGCCCAAGCAAGCCCAAGTGTAGTAGTGCACCAAGTCAATGGGGTGAGCCTGAGAGAAGGAAAGAGAGAGGAAAAAGAGAAAAAAGTAAAGAAAGAGAAAAGGGAAAGAAAAAAAAAGGACAAAGAAAGGGGGAAATGGAAGGGACAGAAAGAAAAAGGAAGAAAGGAGGAGGGAGGGAGGAGAAAGATAATGAGATATCTATTCTAGTCCAATCACCTGCTCCAGCAGGATTAGAAGGGAGTGTGTGTGTTCTTGTAATTTACCAGCACATTTTGGTTTTGCCTTCTTCAAAATTGGCACTGTAATACATTGGGGAAAAGTAATTTTTTAGGGTGGAGATCTGGTCCAATTGATCCTGTTTAAAGCCTCAAGAAAATGTGAGAGCTTCATTATAGTCTTGACCATGTTTCATCCACAAAACCTTTAATAGAAGCCAAAGATGTTTCAACGTGGAAAAGGACCTCAGTCTAAACTAGGCCTCATTTCAATCGGATGCATCAGGTCTGCTCTCTCTCTCTCTCTCTTTCTCTCTCTCTCCCTCCCTCCCTCCCAGACTGGCTTTGCTCTACTTTCCCAATGTGCCAGCGGGGCCGGTTATTCGAACATGGATGGATGGATAGACAAGTAGGTAGGTAGGTAGGTAGGTAGATAAATAGGTAGGTAGGCAAGCAGGCAGGAAAACAGACAGAACTTTTGGATGTAGGGATAAGTAGGTAGGTAGATAGATTATATTGGTAGATAGGTAGGTAGGTAGACAGAAAGACAGGCAGGTAGGTAGGCAGGCAGACAGACAGAGACCTTTTGGATGGATGGACGAACGGACAGACAGACAGAATGCAACAGCGGCAGCACTTTGGGAAAGCGGTGGTGGCAGCTTTTTCCAATGAGATGCCGCATTCGAGGTGCCGGCTCTGGTGCAGTACAGCAGTCAATGGGCCTGCAGGGCCGGTGCCTCAAACGTTCCCTCTGCCACCTCTTAGCACCCTGCAGGCTCACCCATTGACTGTTGCATTGCTCTGGAGCCGGTGCCTCAAACGCCCCCCTGCCGCCTCAAACTCCCCCCTGCCTCCTCTTAGTGCCCTTCTGCCGGCCTCCTTGGGGATACTAAGAGGTGGCAGGGGGGCGGCACACTGAATGTGGCCGCGGCGGCACGTAATGTGCCACCGCTGCCACATTCAAGGTGCTGGCTCTGGAGCGGTGCAACAGCCAGCGCCTCGAATGCCCCCCTGCTGCTTCTTAGCGCCCTTCTGCTGGCCCCCTTCGGGACACTAAAAGTTGGAAAGGGGGCGTTCGAGATGCCGGCTGTTGCACCACTCCAGAGCTGGCGCCTCAAATGAGGCTGCAGTGGCACGTTACGTGTCGCCGCGCCGCATTCGACACGTCACCCCTGCCACCTTTTAGCATCCCCAAGGGGGCTGGCAGAGGGGCACTAAGAGGCAGCAGGGGGACGTTCGAGGTGCCAGCTCTGGAGTGGTGCAACAGTCAATGGGTGAGCCTGCAGAGCCACAGGGGGCGGTACCACCCACTTTGGGAACCACTGGATTAAATTAAGTGATTTAAAGAAATCGAATGGAACCCTGACAGAAAGAATGTTATTCTATTAAAAAATAAATATATGAAACCTGATCTTCAGTTGCATCTAAGAATTTTGGAAATTTTAACTATGCTCCTTCAGAAGCAATTGGTCTAAGACAGAATGTAAAAGCTCAGTTCCAAGGCTACAAACTTCTGATTCCCTGGGAATTATACAAAAGAAAATGCAAATATGTATATATATAAAATCAAAACTTACTTGCACAGTTTCAATCAAACTTGCTGAATAAAAAGGCATTGCTATGATACAAGTCAACCTAGAGGAATAAAGACAGTTACTATTTTGATAATCAAAATCCAATTTGCTAAAATCCAATCACATATTTTAATTTCAAACATCCCACTCAAGAATAACCTTAATTCTTTACAATTTAATTTATTTCACCCATACAGGTAATTCTCAGGTTGCAAGGATAATTGGAACTAGAATTTTTGTCATCAAGTGATGTGGTCATAAAAGCATGATGTCACATGCAATGGCAATTCCAGCAGTTCCTGTTGATGTTATTAAGTGAAGACTGGGGGATTGTTAGGCAAAGACACTGCATCTTCCTACTTCCTGTCAGCTACCCTATTGACTTTGCTTGTGGGAGGCTAGTAGGGAAGGTCACAAATGATGCTCACATGATTATGGGCTGTTGCAACTGGTCCTAAATGACAACCAATGGCCAAGCACTCAGATTATAATCACTTGACTTTGGTAGTACTGGGATGAATGAATGGTTGCAAGTCAATAACTACTTGTATTTTCTATTTCTTCAAACCCATTTGTGTATCATTTTCTGAATAATACTTAAATTCATTAATTGGAAAGAAGTAAAAAAGAAACGAGAATTCATCCTCAGTTTTTCAACTATGCTAATTTGTGTGTATGCATCAAGGCAATCATAAGAATAAAATGAAGAAAACAGATTTTAGTATTAAAAACAAATACTACAACCTGAAAGTCTCAAATTTTCCACAAATTGGTCTGTTCACGGTGTTGGATTACCTTTTAGAATTTTCAGTCAGAATGGTATTTTTTTCTATAATGGGGACTTCTGGATTTGGTACTTCAACAAATCCAGATAATCCTGCTCAAGTTGATGTTGTTTATTCTACAACAGGGAGAGTCTTGTTATGCTTACCATTCACTTTTGTTTTGCCTATGTGGTTATTAATTTGAAACTATGACAACAGCAAGCACCAATAAAAACTGACAATCATACATACGCTTTTAGGGTCAGATGTCCTCCTATTTGCCTGGGATTCCATTTGTATGAAATTTCTCTGAAAATTTTAAAAAAGATCTCTTATTCATTCAGCAATTAGAATATACACCAAGTCATTACTTTATGCTATGTTGAGGGATGTCAGAAGCTCACTAGGAAAGTTGCGAATGGCGATCCCAGGACATTAGGATGTTGCAACCATCCTAAATACATGCCAGTTGGGAAGTACCTAAAGTTTGATCACGATTGTGGGGATGCTACAATGGTTATAAATCTGAGAACTGGTCACAAGTCACTATTTGCAGTAACTCTGAACAGTCATTAAATGAATAGTTTTAAGTCGAGGATTACCTGTGGTATGTTTTATTTTACTTATTAATACCAATCTTGTTACTTACGTTAAAACTGAAGAAAAATTAAGACACGCTTATGAACAATACAGAACTGGTAATGGAGGAAAAGTTGCATTATAAAGGCAAAATACAGAGTCCCCAAAGGATAAGAAAAGGTGTGTATTCGTTGATATCTTATACAGCAGAATATCTTACTAACTGGTAACTTTCTATAACAAAGTCTATCCTTTTTCTAGAATTGCTACTAATATCATTTCAGCATACATTATTATTAGTTTACAATGCATCTGAATAAACAATATAGGTAATCCTCAACTTATGACCACAACTGAGCCCAAAATTTATGTTGTATATAACCTCTCATCACACTTGTTAAGAGAATCACTGCAGTTGTTAAATTAGTAATAGGGTTGTTAAGTGACTCTCGTTTCCCCATTGATCTTGTTTGTCAGAAGGTCTCAAAAGGGGAATCCTTTCACATTCTCCTGGGACGCTGCAACTGTCATAAATTATTATGACATGAGTCAGTTGTCAAGCAACTGTGGCAACTGTCTTAAGTGTGAAAAATGGTCATAGGTCCCTTTTTTCAGTGCCGTTGTAACTTTGAACGGTCACTAAATGAATTGTTGTAAATTGAGGACTACTGTACCTGTAGATATAATGCTATATTCATATTAGATGTTAAAATAATTTCCTCAAAAATATGGTTTATCCAAGAATGTGAGCATGCCTGCTTTATACGGATGATTCTAATCCAGACAGCTTTATTAGACATCCTGGTTAGTCTGCATACACGTGATGGACCTACCTTCACAAGCATTTGGAACATGCTTGGTTAATACCAAACTCTCTTCTTCCTCCTACAGGCACAGGTTAGTAGATCAGCTCAGCAAAGGAAAGGAAGTAAGTGCCTCTAGAAATATTGCCATGTAGCAGTAGCGTCCATGTAACACTAAAGACGCTTTTTTAACATTCCCCAGTCAGCAGAAAAGGGAGAAAATCAAATATATAAGCTTCAACTGAATTAGAACTGGAACTGGGTATGTCTAGTCTAGTTAAAAGAAAGGCTAAGGCGACATGAAAGCATATTCCAATATCTAAGGAGCTGCCACAAAGAAGAGGGATCAACCTGTTCTCCAAAGCACCTGAAGGATGGACAAGAAGTAACAGATGGAAACTTCAAGGAGAGATCCAGACTAAAACAGGAGAAATTTCCTGACAGTGAAAACAATCAGTGGAACAGCTAACCTCCAAAAGTTGTGGGTGCTCCAACCTTGCGGGTGGTTGGACTTGAAGACCTCCAAGATTCCATTCAACTCTGTTATTCTGAATGATTCTCATCATAAAACAATTATTAGAGTGGCTTATTTTTTTTACCAATTCAAACAAATAATCTCTCACATATATATGAACAATTATTAATATTTTACTTAACACAATGACAGAACACAATAACAGAAAATGATTATACCTTGGCAAGGGTGTGAATTCACTGATGATGCCTTCTGCTCCAAGGGCTATACCCTGGACAATGAAAGTACTCCCCATTCCTTTCCAAAGAGCTCTGGGGCCCTAAAATTTAAGTTATAATTTGTTCAGTATTGGATGTATTGAAAAAGCTGATGTTAACAAATAATAACCTCTTTACATATTGCTATTTTGTACTATTACACCATATGAGAAAGTCACAGTGCATAAATCAAATCAAAAACAATAGAAAATTTATTGTTCTTTAAAAACTTGTAAGTTAAATTTAGAAATAAATAACCTCCAAGTGAGAGTAAATACTAACCTGGGTTTTATTGATGCTATACATAATGTTGATGATTGTAAAAGGAGTAAGGTGATAATTCTTGGCATGATAATTAACCTGAAAATATAAAGTATATACACAAGTGTAAAAATGAGCTGTCCTAAATTCATATAATTTATAATATGACATATATCGATGTGGTTCATATATATGCTAGATCGCTATTGCTTATTTTGTGTAGACAAATCATGATTACAAATCTTTAATGATGTGTGTGATTTGGATCCCTTGGATCTTTAGATGCAATAAATGTTGCATGAATACTTTTACATATTAAAAAAATTAATCGAATCCCATATATTAGTGACAATAAATTCAAAACAACATTTTTACATCTAAATTTATATTCCCTTGCACTTAAATTAGAAGTTCCAGATTTTGGATCCAAAGAGTCCTAAAGTGGCATGGACATCTTGTTTTATCTATCTTTTCTTGTTTTGCACAATAAACTGCATAGAAGAATTAAGAAATACCCTTAATGAAAATATGGACTTTTCTGAGCCATTATGGCTATGAGTAAAACCAGCAAAAGGTATGAATGCCTTTAGAGATTCACCAACAGGTACAGCAGTATTGCCTGTTTCAGATCCAAATGCTAAAATGCATGTCTTCAAAATATTAGGATGACGATTTTTAGATCTTTCAGAAGAGATGCTTCAGAACATGATGGAGCATATATGAAGTTTCTTTTTTTAAATCCATGAAGTTCCTGCTTTTTTTTTTTTTTAAGGATTGTGCTGCTGCTTTCGAAGCAGCTCTGAAATGTCTCCATATGTGTATATGTACAAATATACACGCATCCATAGGGAAACAACTGACAGTGGTTTATGAAGCTGTAAAGTTATCAATGTTGTATTGATTCAGAGAAGAGGTGTTTATGTGTTCCCAGAGGCTCCAAAACACTTATTCCAAAAGATGTGTATAGCTTGAATGAATTTCCTTAAGTATTTTACCTTAAGATTGGCTACACTGATAAGGATTTCAACAAATTCATAATTTTGGAAAAAAGGAGGAAGCTATTTCAACTTCTCATTAAAATATATAAAATATTAGACCAGAGTATAAATAAAGTTTAAACTAGGAACAATATAAAAGATGATCTCAGTGAAAAGCTATTCCAACTGTCTGAAATAGAAAATTCAGTTCTATTTTATTAAGTGGTTCAGTTAGAGCAGTAAAACAATTTATTTACTTGGTGTGGAACGCAAAGGTGCTTTTTCAGGAGGCAACTTGACTTTCTTGGTTTTTCTTTTGAAGACATTTTGCTTCTCATCCAAGACACTTCTTCAGCTCTTGGATAAGAAGTGAAACATCTTCAAAAGAAAAAAAATAGAAAGTCTAGTTGCCTCCTGAAAAAGCACCTTTGGGACAACCATGACCTGGATGACTGAGAATCTCTACAAACTTGATGTAGAAATGTGAGTTATTTGGCTGTATGTTATGCCAGGTTAAACTAACTTCATAATCTTGATATTTTCTATGTTACAAAAGGGAAGAAATACATTTTTAATATCAGAAGAAGTTATAAAATTGAATACTAAATATGCATGGAACCCGCTGTCCTAATTATATACAGAGAAACACAAAACAAATGTTTGAATAATAGCCTACAACAGCCCAAAGAATTTACCTGGCATTGCCGACGCAAAACAATGCAAGGATGAGCCAGCACATTTTCTGTGAATAAACTGTGAAGAAACAATTATTTTAAATGCTCAACTTTCATTAGAACATTAGTCATTCTAATTTGTTCAACTGTGATGTCTAGGAAATTAAGATTTATAACATATAGCTAACTCTCAATAAGCTTCACACATACATCTATCTGCCTTCTGCAAAAATCTATGTTGTATATTGAACTACAGCTTCTTTTGCATATATGAAATACACAAAATATTTGTTCTAATATGGAAAATTGTTATGAGTTATTCTGCTTCTACAAAATAAGAAGGCAGGGATAATGTGAGTAGTATGTTTCTTTCAGTAGCGATCTGCATTGAATGCATAGCATATGTTCAGAAGCCCCATTTATCGAAACCAAATAACCACTCTGTTGATTAGAAGATGGGTGCTGTTTGGTTTTGAAGAGGTGTGTTGAATTCTGATGAAGCAAAATACCTGCCCAAAATAAGCTCATTCTAATAGACAACCTATGTGTTTCTGATATAACTTCCACAATCTTTTTTACATTTCAAAGCATCCAGGTTGTCCATCTCTGCTGAAAGACAAAGATGGGCTACTATAACATGTCAGTAGCCTGGCAATACAGAGGGGAATAAAACCTACAAACCCCAGCAAAATTAATTCATTTACAAAAAGGAACATACATAGGTATTAGACAGGTTTGATAACTGTCTAAACTAATCAAAACTGTCAGTTTGATAATGTCTAGAAATCGTGAAATGTGAAATACTTGTTCTCTATTTGGTTTACATGAACTAGCTATGAAATCCATTTATATAGACACACAGCCACAAAAAACCAAAACAAATCAGCATATCACATTAAACAGCCAGACAGGAATTATTGTACGTTATGATCCGTGTCCAAGACTTCATCAGTCAGCCCTGCCACATGTAAGCAGCAAGAACTGTATAGCTCGTTTAACTACTTGTGTGAGAATGCCTTGCTACTTAAAAAAGGAAGGCATACTGCACTACTGGCACTAGTTGCTAGGCAGCACACTTCTTAGGGGAGGGGTTATTCTCCCCTATGGTTACAATGGAACCTTTAAAAAGCAGCAGTTAAAAACCACCACAATGGCCAATTGGCAAAGCCCATCCTATTAGATTTGTGGTTTTGTTTTACCCTAGGATAGTGAGGGAAATGAGTAGTATGTGTCTTTTCTCATGAGAAATTAATCTGAGAGTTATAGTGCTTTTTGCATGGCCATTTAGATCTATCAACTTATAAAAAAATCTCATATAGCGAGCATCCCCTCAAGCAACTTCTATACTAATTACAACAAGGATAACAAAAAGTTTATACATACTTACACCATGTGCACAATTATTAGGCAATTAATTATTTTGACCATATCATTTTAATGCATATTTTCCACCTTCAAGCTGTATAAACTTGAATACTTAGTTGGCATAAGCATATCAGGTGATGTGTATTTGTGTAATGAGGGAAGGTGTGGCCTAAGGAAATCAACATCCTATATCAAGGTGTGCATAATTATTAGGCAGCTTCTTTTCCCCATGCAAAATGGGCTAAAAAAAGAGATTTAATTGACTCAAAGTCAAAAATTGTAAAAAATCTTTCAGAGGGATACAGCACTGCTGCAATTGCTAAGATATTGGAGCACGATCACAGAACCATCAAACGTTTTGTTGCAAATAGTCAACAGGGTCGCAAGAAATGTGTTGAGAAAAAAAGACGCACATTAACTGCCCAAAATTTGAGAAGAATCAAATGTGAAGCTACCAGGAATCTATTATCCTCCAGTACTGTCATATTCCAGAAGTGCAACCTATCTGGAGTGCTCAGAAGTACAAGGTATTCAATGCTCAGAGACATGGCCAAGGGAAGGAAGGCTGAAACCCAACCACCACTGAACAAGAAACATAAGTTGAAATGGCAAGACTGAGACAAGAAATATCTGAAAACAGATTTTTCATTGGTTTTATGGACTGATGAGATAAGATGACTCTTGATGGACCAGATGGAAGGGCCTGGGGCTGGATCAGTAATGGGAACAGAGCTCCATTTTGACTCAGACGCCAGCAAAGTGGAGGAGGGGTACTGGTATGGCCTGGTATTATTAAAGATGAGATAGTTGGACCTTTCTGGGTTTAAGATGGACTCAAAATCAACTCCCAAACCTACTGCAGTTTTTAAAAGACACTTTGTTCAAGCAGTGGTACAGGAAAAAGTTTGCATCTTTCAAGACCACCATGATTTTTATGCAGGACAATGCTCCATCGCATGCATCAAAATACTCCACTGTGTGGTTAGCCAGTAAACATGAAATAAGAATGACATGCCCCTCTTTCTCACCTGACCTAAACCCTACTTAAACAGGAGATTTATGGTGAAAGAAAACAGTACACCTCTCTGAACAATGTCTGGGAGACTGTGGTTGCTGCTGCACAAAAAGTTGATCGTCAACAGTTCAAGAACAGTTCAAAAACTCCATGAATGGAAGACTTATGACTGTTATTGAAAAGAAGGTTGGCTATGTTGGTCACTGATTTTTTTTTTTTGAACTGTCAGAAATGTTTATTTGTAAATTTTGAAAATAAATGAGATGGGAAACTTTAACAGATGAAAATAAATGAGTGAGATGGGAAAATTTTCATTTTTCATTTAGTTGCATAATAATTCTGCACACTAATAGTTGCCCAATAATTGTGCACACATAGATATTCTAAGAAAGCCATAACCTCACTTTTACTTTTTAAAATATTCTGTTTTGAGGTTTATTAACATTTTGGGTTGACTGAGCACTGTAGTTGTTCAATAATAAAAATAATCCTCAAAAATACAGCTTGCCTAATAATTATGAACATAGTGTAGATAGAATTAAAGTATATTATATCTATACATTTTGTGCTTATATTATTAAAAATTCTGCTTTCAATAGAATGACGCTACTGAAGAAAATCCATATATATGTTGTAAGTGTTGTAAGTCACATTTTTCAGTGCCGTTGTAACTTTGAATGGTCACTCAGTAAATGGTTGTAAGTTGAGGACTACCTATATTTACAAGTCCAAGTTTTCCAAAATATTTTTGGGATTTCTTTACTAATTTCTTTGATTGTGAAATTGTTTTAGTATTGAATGTAATACTAGTCATGAGTAAGAAATTTAATTTATATACAGAAGCAACCGTAAATAATTTAAATGCATTCTAGTTATTACTTTTCATGGTCTTTTATCATACCAGTATATCTCAGTATATACTAGTATAGTGTTCTAAAGTCTAATAATATTTTGGGGCAATTATTTATTCCAATTTGCTCTATAATGAATCTAAAGTTTCAGTAGATGTCGGATATGTTGAATGGAAATTATCTAAAAAGATTTTTAAAATCCTTTATTTCCAAAGTAGACTAATGGTAAACAGGGGTCATAAAAAGTGCATTGAAATGACGCACTGAAATGACGCACTGAAATGACACATTGAATTGCAATGCATTGAAATGGCACATTGAAAGTGCCCAATTGTCTTTTAGTAACCACAAATTCATGAGATTATATTCATAGTGGATTAGTAAAAGGCTAAAAATTAATATGATCTAAATAAAATATGGAAATAATTCAGGACTCCTGTCTTAATTCTTTTACACTACATCAAAAGCCAGAATCTTCAAAACATTTATGTGGCCCAACATCAAGTATAAAAACTCTTAAGACCCTTCTTATATAAATTTTTGAAAGAAATTGGATTTTTACAGAAATAGAAATTTCGATTATCACTTCAGTCTACATTGAAAACACATTACATATTGGGCTGAACAAACAGAAATCCTTTACTCCATCCAATTCATCAATTTAGATCTTATTGGCAAACTGTTAATAAGATTTCAGGATTGGATACATACATTGGCAAATTATGGCTAACTTGTTATAATTAAACAACACTTTGCTCAGATGAATTAATGATTATTTCCAAAGAGATGAACTTCTTTCAGTTATGAGTTGTTTTGAAAATGCATCATTCCAAATTTTCACTAAGTTGAGACCAACTTGAAGAACTGTTGGTTCAAATTGAGACGTTAAACACAATCTCCTTCTAGATCAGAGGTGGTATTCAGCAGGTTCTGACCAGTTCTGGAGAATTGGTAGCAGAAATTTTGAGTAGTTCGGAGAACCATCAAACACCACATCTGACTGGAGATTTTACAGTATCCTTCCCTGCCATGCCCACCAACCCATGCCCACAGAACTGGTAGTAAATTTTTTTGAATCCCACCACTGTTCCAGATGAGTAATTTTTTCTAGTGTAGCTTTACTGCAAGCATTAGTACTAATAGCCCAAAACTAGGCAAGAATATGAATAGCCTTGGTTAGTTAGCAACATCAGATGGGATTCAGATATTATAAGCCACTTAGAGTGATTGATTGACAAGGGCAGCCACAAAAACTGAACATATATCGAGTATTAAATAGTTACTTAACAATATTAATAACTGTGTTAGTTATGAAAACACAACAACTGTAACATTTTGTTTAAAGTTTTAATGGCAGTATTAAATTTCTGAATTACACAGTGGGCATGAACTTTTTTAAAAAAGGGGTCTTTGCACTTTAAAAAATGCCACTAATGAAAGATTAGACCTCTTACCTTGCCAAGCCAATCCCAAAGCCTGCAAACCGATTTATTTGCTCTAAAAGAGAGATAACCATCCATTAAAGCCAGAACGTGAGCAACACATTTCGGTATAGAATTTTTACTATTCATTGCAATAAATTATACAGCAAATCCATAAATTTTAGCACATTAGGCGTCTTTATTAACTGCAAGATATAGAATGTTTCTAAATAAGTTAAATATTTAATTTCCTTGTATCTCTTAAATAATATTCCAAATACTGCATAACTTTTTTGCGGCGGGGGGGGGGGGGGGAGAACAAGATGCTTCCAAAAAGAGTCACGCCTAAAGACATGGATTGCAGAGAGCTGGATAGCATCCAAAAAGTGTAAAAAGAATGTAAATTAGCACACCGTTTCCGGTAGCTTTATCAAGCGGACCTAACCAATAAGGACTGCGGAGCAGACCTGCCTGACGCACTGGAGCACCTGCTGCCTAAGGGCGGAGGCCAGGCTCTTAATCTGCACGTGCCACTCCCGCACTCGACGATTTGTTTTACGCACCGGAGTTGGTGCCAGCACCTCCTAGGTACGGGTCCTCGTTGAGCCCAGCCGCCACCAAAGGTGTGCCTGCGGCGAACTGCGGCGTCTTTTCACCCCAATGGAGGTTGCGGCTGCCAGGAATGTCAGGCGGGGTAGTGACCCAGTGGCCTAGATCCGGCTTGGCCGCGAAGCCTCCGGGCTCCTCTCGGGCGCTCCGATAGCCCAGGCCGTCGAAGCCCTCGGGGCGCCGCGGATGCATTGGGCAGTGAAAGCAAGCAGGATCGGGGAAAACCAGCAAAGAGACAAGACCGGGAAGAACGAAGTGCTGCGGCTCCCACTCTCTAAGCTTCACTTCCGGGTGTCAACCGGAAGCAAACCCCGTTAGCTTGCCGAGCGGTATGATTTCGCCTGGCTAGGAACGTAGGCTTCGTCCGAGCTTGGCGATTACCGGGAAACTGAGGGTAGTTGTCTCGGTCTAGATGGGGATTTCCCAGCAATTAGGTTTTGCAAGCTAGAGTGGAGGCAGAAAACTATTCCAGAAGAATACATGGGAAAGCATGTATATAATATTGCTAAGGAAACCTTTGTGTGTGAATCATATTTCCAATTGGGTCTCATTAGTCTCCTTTTGCATTTTTAAATGTTTCTTGTATGAGATATGGAGAGGTTCGTACAAGTGAACACAGATATCTAGAGTTGTAACGCAGCTGAAAAAAAAATACCAGCATATCATCATCCAAACAAAATACATTGATGAACTGTTTTACTTTTTATCATGTTTTATATGAAGTGAGTACATATGAATTTCTTTGAATTTGCAAGGAGCCAAGCAAATTGACAATAGTATATTCTAGTGATGTTCATAACATTTTCCAATGTTTAACATAGCAAGGGCAATATACAACAAGTCCCCAGTGTTTGAAGATTAGTGTAATTCAGTTCTGCAATTGCTCCTAGTAGTTGGGTCTATTTAGGGGTTACAAATACATATCCATGGTACAAAACTGATCTTTATAGTAAAGCTGAGTTACAGTTTTTCTATAGTACTTTAAGCACTCAATTGCTCAAAAGGTACTGGTATGCAATAGTCTGCTTTACTTGCCCTTATTAATCCATACTTTGCTTAATGGTGGCTATTGACACAATTTGCCCAGTACCAGCAAGATCAGAAAGCCAGAGAGTAATAGTTGCTAAGATTAAGAACTAGAATTGGGCAGACTGAGGTTGAAGCTCATTCTTATCCATAGAGGCATATTGGGCGCCTTTGTTAGCCCAACCTACTTTACATGGTGGGAAGAAACTTCAAAGTCACTAAATGAATAATTGTAAGTGAAGGACTACCTGTACTACTGATTTTTGATAGAAACGTTACAAACCTTCTGGACCACATTTGACTACATTGGTGGACCTCCATCTGTGTCTATAATTTTAAAGGAAGCCCCCACTCACACCCCATCCATAGCTGAGAAATGAATGGCAAATGTTTGAATTCCCAAGAACTTTTTAGATAAATAGTATAAAAAGGGGCTGGGGAAGATGCAGATAAATACAAAATCAGAGTCACCCAAGTGATTTACCAGAATTGCATTTATGAATCAAATGAATAGTTAATATTGGTCATTTATTCAGGAGGAAGAAATAGGTTCGTAGTACTTCTGAAAACACAAAGGCCAATTTCTTTTAATTCCCTCAACACTGTTCAACTCTCCTTAAGATTTATATTGACTGTTTCCTAGTATGATTTGATTGCTTATTGTACCCTATGACTATCATTCTTGACGAATGTTTCTTTTCTTTTATTTGCACCAAGACAAATTCCTTGTGTGCCCAACTACACTTGGCCAATAAAGAATTCTATCTTTTGGATTCAGCTCTCTCATTTTATTTTATTGGGGTGGGGTGCATCTGTTTAAAATACTTAAATTCCCAGAAGGCAGACCTTCTCCGGCTCCTTCCACGTCTCTTGCCTTGAGTTCGCAAAGAAAGTGGGGAAAGAAGAAACAAACTACATTTGTCATTAAACAATCCCGGTATTGATTCCCGCTACACATAGCTCCTGTTTACAGCAGCGGCATAATACAAAACGCGGCGCAGGAGTAGCCGCCAGGGAGCTGAGATCTCAAGCGCTAGAGATTTATTTATTTATTTGATTTGTCAATTGTTTACAAGATAATAAGTATAAGTGTATACATAGTTTTGAATACATGAAATGGGTACATATAAGAAAAATAAAAGAAAAATAAAAGAAACAATAGGACAGGAACGGTAGGCACGTTGGTGCGCTTCCTCTCTCACACTCCGTGGAGTTCCGTCCTGCTGCGTCCGTGGCAACGGTCGTCCCGACTCCTGAAAACCCCGCTAAGGTGGCAGCGTGGGGCCGAGGTGCGTGTTCTTTTTCGCCGCCTCCTGCGAGCCCGGTAAGTTTAACAAGACAGTCGCGGATGCGGTCCAAAGTCGGAAGCTTTGCAAGGGAATGATTTTAATCCCGGCAGGTTGCCTGGTAACCCGGTTGAGTTGTCCTTACCGCTGGTTTGTGAGCTGCGGTTCCACGTCTGTCCCGCCCAGGTGAGGGGCAGCACCGGCGGGATTGAGCTAGTTAAGCGGGCTCCTTTGGACCTGCTTCGTACTCGTAGTACTGGGGACTGGAAACTATATCTGAAGAAAGCGCTGAGAAATAATCACTTCCATCCTGCGCCGAGAAAACAGTAGGAATAATATTGGTTGCTTAGGTGAGGACGGGAGTTCTGGGCTGTAAAGTTTCTGAGGACCCGCTAGAGGGCGGCAGTTAGCACGGTCTGTTATTTCTATCGATTTCTGCATGTTTTAAATCGGCTCTTTTCCCATTCACAAATGATATTGCATTTTATTAAATGGCATTTGTTTAGGCTAAAAAGGCGCTCCTGGGCTCCTGATTATTTGCCAATACAGCCTCTTCCTACAGTGTTTGTATATTCTGCTATCAAATAATCATTGTTATAGTGATTTGAAGTCTTCTCTGGTGTATATTTGCCAACAGAGCTGTTATAGGGTGCTGTAAGTCTGTAGAAAGAAAATGGCCTAACTCTAAATCAGGGGTCTCCAAACTTGGCAACTTTAACACTTGTGGACTTCAACTCCCAGCATAGCTGGCTGGAGAATTCTGGGAGTTAAAGTCCACAAGTCTTAAAGTTGCCAAGTTTGGAGACTTCTGCTCTAAGCTGCCCTTTAGAACAGGTTTCTCGAACCAGTGGATAAGCAGACATCAAAGTGTCCCTATTCGAACAATGACATGACAAAGTTTGATTTCATTGAGAGACAGCTAAGTGAAGTAGTTTAATTTATTTGTTGTACATCACTTTAAAAAAGGAATTGTTTTTAAAATTATTAAATGACTTATATATGACAAGTTGGTGTGTAGTAGTTAAGCTGCTGGCCTAGAAACCAGGAGACAGGGAGCTCCGACAAAATCCTATTGGGAGACTTTTAAGTTTCACATACACACAACACATCTCTTTAATTGATACCTATTACTATTTATTATAGATGAGTGTGTAGTCATTGATCTCCACCACCCCTCCTAGAATTGGTTAATTGAGCTTTTAAGATAATGTTTTTATTAAAAGAAAAGAGATGCCTTCGTTATACCCAAGCCATACAAAACATATTCTGCTAACTCTAAGGATAGTATTCATTTTAGCGACAGTCTGGGTGATGTGCCAAAAGTGGATCCAAAGCCAATAGGATATTATTGCCGTAGCTGTTTATTATCACTTTCAGGCTACATAGTCTTATCTAAGCACACAAAAATGTCAACATGAAATAATATTTTAAGTGGTTTATATGATGTACAGTATAATAAAAGTACATTGTTTTTCTCTGTCCCTTCCTTAAAAAGCACAAGAGTTCAGTAAAGAAATATCTCATAAGAAATCTCGAAGCCTGTGCTAAAGGTGGATTTAATGGCAGTGCAATGTGCTTCCTGTCTTACTACTATGTGCTCCGAGTGTGTGAGAAAGAGGGGGGAGGGAGGGAGGGAGGGAAAGAACAAGCTTGGGAGAAGCAAAATTTCTCAATCTAGAAAAAAGTGGCTATGTGATTAAGTTCAACTCAGTTCTAGATTGAGATATTTTAAATATTGCAGCAATGTCATTTAAATGGGGTACAGATACTTTTTTCCTTTATGTGAACCAATGTGTAGCCATTTAAATATTTTGAGTATCATAACATAAACAGGAGTTGGTGAGATAGTGTCTGTGAGTACCATGATACATCTTTTCCCTCCCAGAGGTCACCATGCATACACACATGTGCACACACTGCTGTTTGTGTGGTGTATTGGCTGCAGGTTTGCCTCTGGATGCAATTCAAGGTGTTGGCTATCACCTTCAAAGCCCTGCCTAGCTTGAGTCAAGGTTACCTGAGGAACCATTTCACCTTGATAGGAATAGCCTATTCTACCTAGCCGATAGAAGGGGGCATGCTGCAGACTGCATCAGTTAAGGATTTTCAACTGATGACGTCCAGGAGAAGAACCTTTTCTGCCATAGCTCCTTCCCTTTGGAATATTGTACCACTCCAGGTGAGATCCGTACCCACCTTTCTGACCTTCTGAAAGACTGAAATCTGGCTCTGTCAGTTGACTCAGGGCCCCCATTCAGAAGGTGACTATTGGATTAGGAAAGACCTCTACCTTTGTGCTTGACATTTGCCTCCTCTTCATCTTTTAATAGTATTTATTATTATTTTTTATTGTTTTATTATTTTAATGTGTACTAGTTTAATGTTTGTAAGCTGCCCCGAGTTGTCTCTGACAAGATGGCAAATGTAAAGGAATCCAGTAGGTTTTTACTTCCCTAGTTGTAGCTAGTTTTAGGTGACAGTGCTTATTTCTGTTTCCAGGCCATTGAGTCAGTAGTGTCTGAAGATGTTTCTATGGTCATGTGGTCAGCATGATATCACACTGCAGTGCAGAATGTGTGGTGAAACAGAGTGCTTTTACTTTCCCAATTAAGTGATACCCATTTATCTACTTGCATTTGCATGCTTTGCCTGACGAGATGGGTGGCATATAAATGTAATAAATAAAATAGTTTAAGATCCTGAAATGACATACACTTAGACCTCATCAGAATGTAATGTAAGTAAATGTTATCTAATGCCATGTAAAAGTCCAATTTCTCAACTATACTTCGAATATTTCAAATTTCTTCTTCTTTCTTATAATTGAATTGTTCATGTGTTAGCCTCTTTGAATAGTCATTTTCTTTTCTTAACTTTTAACTAAATTTAGTTGTTGAGTTTTCAGTGTAGCCATCATCTGAAAACTGCGAAGAAATTGCGGCGTTGAAATTTATAGGCAGTGAGAGAAATATCAGTAAATCCTGATAGTAGCTGTGAGTGCTGTTGGAATACTGAGCGACTGGTAATACTCTCAGTGATTTAATGTTAGGATGAGGAGAGTCTTGGACATTTAGGCTGTGTCTTTCTTTTGACCTGTCTCCAGACAGACTCAGGAGTGTGAAGGACCAATGATAAAAGTTCCCTTTCCAGAAATGTACCCCAGCAAAAACGAATCAGTCAGTGCAGTTGACTTTTTTAAAGAAAATCTTCATTATAAGCATAAATACTTTTTAATTACTCATTAACTAATATAGAATATGTGGTGGAAAGCTATTTGTAATTATTTATTTATGTATTTATTTGATGAAATTTGATCAGATTTATATGGAGCACAATTTACTTAAGTTTTTTTTTTAATTTCCAGAATAGAGCATTTTTTGTAAGAGAAAATATATGAAATAATCTATACTATGGATTTAACCATGTTTTCTAACTAAAGTGGAGCGTCTATAATTTGCTAAACCTTAAATTAAAAAACAAACCAAGCAGGATTGTGTCAGTTCCAGAAATTGTCTGTTTCAATCAGTAACTCTTGAGACAAGCATATTCTCGAAGTGCTTTAATTAAAAAACTGAAACTTGGCACATCTGTGGAATTATAGAACTAAGGTTCCTTCCAAACTTCCCACAATACTCAATCAACGCCCACCCCTTTTCTCTCACATCATCAATCATGTGAACCAAGCACATTTCAACTATAATTCTTGCTGCACCATAGAAAATGACCTTGACAGTCTTACATATCTATTATGTCTACTGAAAATTACTCAAAGAACAACACCCCCTTTTTCCATCCTTTGTAGCTAGGGGGCAGCTTTTAATAAGGATTCCAAAGCTGACAGATTGTTTCTTGGCAGATAGTAAGGCATCTAATAATAGCTTCCTCTGTTAATTATTAAATGTATCATATTCCTTTTTTTATTTGTTTGTTTCAGAAGGAATATTTGAGCCATAGGCAGAACACCAGTAGTACTCACAAAGGATATTTATGGCTTGGCTTATATAAATGAATTATTTTATCACATAAAGTATTAATTATTTGGCACTCTCATGAGTTTATCCTCTATTTTAAATGCCTTCTCTGTGTATTTCCAGATAAGATTTTATTCTGTGACTATTTTGCCTCATATTGTACTGTGGAGATGTGGGGAGACTGCAAGATATCTATATTGTCTGAAGGCTGGTGTTTTCCAATGGTTCTCTGTTTCTGATTGTTTTAATTTATTTACATGAGTTTGTCATTGCCGTTTTAATTTGTGAGGTACACAGAATCATGTAAGTGAGATGGCCTTCCTTTTAAATTGAACAAAATAAAATAAATGAAATAATAAATTTGTAACATTCCTAACTTTTTTCATAAGGAAGATTTTTTTTTAACTAAAGAAAAAAATGTGGAATTGCTGCATTATTTATCTTCGTTATTGGCGCTTTCTTTATTTATCCTTTATTATTCTTTATCTTCATTATCCTAATCCCACTAGTGGTATAAACTATAAACTATGGCAATTTTAGTTTTCTAATCTGTTTTTTGAGATCCTTCTTAACACAGCCCTAAAGAGAGTTCCAATGACAAATGCCACAATGAACTGTATTGGATTTTATCCAATTAGATTAGATACATATTAGATTAGAGTATGCTGAAAAGAGGCTGTAATCCTGACCATACAGTAGAGTAAATTTTGTTGAATTTATGGAATTATTACAGATCATGACCATTTGTTCAGCAACTGTTCAAAATTAGGACAATGTTAATTGTTGATCAAGGGAGACTTAAAACTGGTCCTTGAATTTGTGGCATCACAGCATCCATGCAATTACTTGATTGTGATTTGGACTGTAGGCAACTGGGTTTACAATTACAACAGTTGTAATATCCCATGGTCACTTGATCATTGCAACCTTTCCTTCTCACAAGGAAAGTCGGTGGAAAAACTGGCAGGAGGTTACAAGGTACTCCTGCTGTTGCTGCTTTTTCGCCTTCCTGCCTGTGGTATCCACCCACCTGCCTCTGCTCTGTAGCATTTGCTTGTGGCACATGATTGTCAATGATTCTCACCCACTGACCTTCCTGCTTGGGATTCCTTCCTTTTTTTCCTTAGTGACTTGTGAAGTCCTGGGGTTATGACAGGAACTGGGACTGCTGGGATTGCTGCTGCTGCATGATACAGTCACATGACATCACACCTTTTAACCTCATCACTTAGCGACAGAAATTCTGGTTCCAGTGGCCATTATAATCTGAGGGTTACCTGTATTTCCGATAATAGCATAGAATCTCCACTATAAGTCCTTAGTGATGGGACTCATCTCCGGGGGTGATGAGTCTGCCTATTGAGATGAGGTGGACCAGTTGTTTTTGTGGTGTGGAGACAATAACATGGTCCTCAACACCAATAAGACCAAGGACCTTATAGTGGACCATAGAAGCAACAGATCAAACATCCAGCCCTTGCTTATCAATGGAGACTAAGTGGAACAAGTGGCCAGTTTTAAGTTTTTGGGTGTTAATAAAAGAGGACCTGACCTGGGGTGCTCACATTGCAGCACTGGTCAAAAGGGCCCAGCAGAGATTATACTACCTGAGACTTCTCAGAAACAACAACTGAATGGAAAACTGCTGGTGACATTCTACCGCTGCACCATAGAGAGTATTTTAACTTACTGCACCTCTGTATGGTTTGCCAATTGCACAGTGGCAGATAGGAAAGCACTCCAGAGGGTTAACATCATTGCCAGAAGATAATTGGCAATTGATTGCCTTCTCCCCTCTTTGGAAGAGCTTTATAGCTCCCGCTGCCTTAAGAAAGTTCAAAACTGTAAGCAATTGGACTTTTCCCCTTCAATGTAAAAGAATGAACTTCTGAAGACCAGGTGTTTGAAAAGGAATCCTTTATTGAAAGGGATTTTATCTCAACCCTAGGCAAAGCAGAGTCTAAGATATCCCCAGGCATACAGTCATAGATAAAGGAAGTTAAAATCCCTCCCCTTATTCAGATGTGGATTTAGTCAGACAAAGAACCAACATGTTAATTCCCCACTCCCCTTCTCTGGAAAGAAGAAATCTTAGCAGAAATCTATCTTAGCAGAGTTCGCAGGAGTGTCTTCCAGAGCTGGAATTTTTATGGTTCCTTCTCATCTTGTTATCTCTTCAAGAGATGATAAGTTTCTAGACATCTGGCTCCACTCCTCAAGTTGTATATCACATGCAAGTTATAAAGAATTAATATAGGATTTAATATATTCAGGTTACATCAAAGAGGATTACTTGTACCAACTCCCCCCCCCCTTCTTCTTCCATTGAAGAATGGCAGATACATGGATCTGACAAAAACATTCTCAAAGATCCATCTCATCCTGGGAACATGGGTAATAGTTCTTTGAACTATTACCATCTGGCAGACGGTACAGAATAATAAAAACAAGGACAAATAGGCTGAAAAATAGCTTCTATCCCAAGGCAGTAGCTCTTTTGAATTCTGCTGTATAGTGCAGTATTGGTGTAGTGTTGAGGGTTTTCGGTTCAATGTGAGGAGAGTGAAGGATGTGTGTTTGTGTTTATTTTCATGGTCATGGTCATGATGTGCACTGAAGATGGTGTTTGATTTCATTGTACGAGCTGCAATGACGATAAACTAAACTAAACTATACTAACCTAGATAGTCTTAAAACCAAAGACGGGATCATCTATTACGTGCTTTCTTTAATGCTACAGGTATAATTTTATTATAAGGTATCTCTGATGTGATGATTACTGTCTGCCTTCTTTGGAAGGGCTATAATAGAATATATATCTGGATAACGTCTATATATTGTACATATTCAGCAACTGTCAATAGTTGCCTTCATCCAAAGGTTTTTTGGGCGGGAAGGGTATGTTTTACTTCTGACATTTATAAGCAATTATTGTTACATTTATCAATAACATAGTTTAAATTATATTTTAGGAGTTTATATTTTAAATATTTTAATAGATATAATTTTAATGGACATTTCCATTATTTAGTTCTATTTGGTGGATAATATGGTAATTCTTTGATATTATATTGCCTACCACATACCAATTATTACCGGTAATAACATTTAAATTGATTAATCAAGCATCATGCTAGTCTGGTGTGTTGGCTAATTAACTATCTAATCAAGAAGTAATAATAAAATAGAGACATTGGAATAAATCAAATAGTTTGGCATGAATCCAGATGCAATTCAACTTAATTATATTTTTTGGATGTAAATAGTATAACATAATTTTAGCTATTCTGTTATGAATATTTGATTAACATAAATGTAGTTTAAATTGTTTTTTAAGTGGAGAGCTAAAAAAAATCCTAAGTTTTTAAAATTGCTGTTCCTTTTAGGATATCCATATTATTGTTTTTGTTTTGTTTTGTTTTGTTTTACAGTTCCCTGGATGATGTGAAAGAAAACTTTTAAAGCTTAGTTTGTAGAGGAAATGGTAATTTTTCCTTTTGGCTATACTGGTTTTGTTTTTTGTTTTAAGACTGCATTTACAACACTATGCCCATTTTAAAAGTGCCAGTACATTATAACTTTGGCATTGTGTCCCGTGATGAACACGAAAGGCTTCATCACAGACTGGTGGCTCAATATATGAAAAAAGATTCAACTGATTTCAAGAGAAAACCACGTAGGTAAGTTTAAATATTGATAATTGATGTGGTATTTATATGTTTGATGTTTTCAAGATTCTCAACCCATATCTTAAGCAAAAGAGCAAGTTAGCTAAACACTTTGAGAGAGTTTAAATAAGATGCCATCAAAATGTAGAAAATGAAAGATATGATGTACAATGCAATAAGTAGCACATGACTTCACCTTTGCCTTTTCAGCCTATACTAATAGATTCCTGTACAGGTAGTCCTCAGTTAACAACCACTAATTCAGCAACTGTTTGAAGTTATGTTGGCACTGAATGAATGGTACTTATGATCTGTCCTTAAAGATCTGGCCATCCTAGTACTCCTGTAGTCATCTGATCGCGATCTGAGCATTGAGCAAGTGCCTTGCACTTATGACGGTTGTGGTGTCTCATGGTCACATGATTACCATTTGTGACCTTCTCAGCTGGCTTCTTACAAGCAAAGTTAATGGGGAAGCCAGCAAGGAAGGCCACGTGTCGCTCCTGTAAATCATTCCCCTTCTCATCAATTTTTCTCCCAAAGAACCTAGCCAGGAGTGTGAGATCTCAGGATTCTCTTACTCTGTAGTGCACACATCCCTTATGTGGTGCCACGGCTGCATTTGTGTAATGCCATGCAGCCACACAAATATCTTTTTGCCACCAACAGCAGCTATCATGATCTGGTTACATTTGTGCTGGGCTATGGCTTGTGCACTCTCTTGCTATCTGGAGTGCCCCTCCCCTCCCCATGCGTGGCTGTCATCGCATCATTCCATAGCAACTACTTACCTGCCCACTAACCTACTTGCGCGCTGCCTAGGACTGGCAACTTCCTGTTGTCTTACTCATTAAATTTGCTTGTAAGAAGCGGGTGAGAAATTGTGAGGAAGATTTCACTTGATGACCCACCATTCTTAATGACAGCAATTGTTGTTGCTAAGCAGTGCTGTCATGTGATATTACCAATGTGCCTATCATCCCTGTCTTAATGTTCCCTTTTATTCGTATCTATTTTGTGTATAAATAATCATGTTTATACTACACATACTATCAAATGGATACGTGACAAAAAAAAACAATTACACACTTAGGGATGGAAACTTTGGTTCCAATTTTTGATGTTAACCAGTAAATTCTGCTTTGGATCATTTTCTGGTGCATATTATTTACTACATGTAAATAATACTTTCTATATATACAATAGCAATCTGTTCCAATGGTGGTATCCGTACCACTTGTGGACAGGCGGATACTATTATATTTCAGTCAAAGATAGGAAACATTAACATAAATAATAAGGAAACATAATAACTATCTCTTTAGGGAAAAAGGGGAATAAGAAACCAAAATAATCTTAGTGCTTAAACCGAGTTAGCAAAAATAAATCTGTTCTCCACATTTAGGAACTAGAATATTATCCCATGCCCTGGAACTTACTGGAAACTATTAATAAAATTCATATTTAAGAAATTAGCTCTCTATTATAATTGGAATAGATGGAGTGAAACGCTCCATTTCTTTTGTTGGGCTCATTAATTAGAATAATATTATCTGTTTGCCTAAATGAAATAGTAGAATCCATATTGAATCTCATCTGTGAGTCATTATCAGTAGTCCTGTCAGTTGAATTTAAATATATTTTAACAGTTGATTTTAAGAGTTTGCTATCACCATATTAAATGGAATTCTTATAAATGACAATAATTTTCTTGATGAGAACTAATAGAATTAATTTCTGTGATACCTTCTTTAAAAATAAAAGAAACAGAAGATAGCTTGGAGGAGGGTGGTAATGTTTCTTAAATACACCTCATCACGTTCTTGACAAAATGACTTGAATCTTAATATCTTTTAGATCTGTGTGTATCTTGTAGAATATGAAATCAGAAGTTGATTATTGTAATCATTTCTGGCCTGCAAAACCCAGACAAGCACTAGACATAATCTGGAATAACCTTTCTTCTGCAGACTTGCTCCTTTCCTGACTTCACTTAAGAAGATGCTGAAAATGAGTTATTTTGCAGAGTGTTTAGCTTAGATCTTGCCATCAATTTCTTTTCATTGATTTCTTCAAATAGCTTTTATATATTGCTTTGTTTTAGTTTTTAATTTGTACCTTGGATACTTTAAGTTATATTGTATAAACCAGAGAGGATTGTTTTTAATTGTGGCAAAATATAAGTGCAATACATAATTATATAAATAACAGAGGAGATGAAAGAGATTGCTAAATGGGGGGAAAACCAGGGTCAAGGGTGACAATGAATTATGTGTCTCAGAGTCGGCTAGCTGTCACGATTCCAGCAGTTACCCCCATTTAAATCACGAGTCTTGAGATAATCTTCCAAAACTTAAAAAGGATTTATTGGGAGTTAACATGTCCAGCAGTGCCTGGGTATAGCCGAGTCTGAGACACATAATTCATTGTCATCCTTGACCTTGGTTCCCCCCACCCCCACCCCCTGGGTGTATTGTAATTCATATTCTCCAATGGAACACATCTATAGCCAAGAGTCATCAATCATGCTCTCCAGTTAGAATTTTGCGCAGCAGAAACTTCAGTAACCTAGTTACTATCTTTGAAAACATTTATGGAATGCACTTTTGGTTTGCAAGCTGCCACACTGCTCCCCCCCCCCTTTCTGTTGGCAACTCTAAAAAGACCATAGAAATATTTTATGAGTTGACATATGAAACATTTAATATCTACAAGTAATACTAAATGAATTATTTCAGGCAATATTATGGTAGTTAAACAACTGATTAAACAAAAATGAAAGGACATAGTTTTGCCTTAGAATTTCAAATGATTCCTGTGTTAAAACTGCACAAAATTGGATGTGTTATAACAAATATAGTGAATATACACTCCTTTACTAAGGGTGGATTCAATAATTTTTTAAAAATAATAACCCTAGCTAAGTGTTACTTTTTTCCAGAAAAAATTCCACACTTGCCACAAGGTGGCTCCTTTGTTTATTTAAAAACAAATAAGTGAGAATCATAGAAGTGGCTGATTCACAGCAGAAGATAAAATCCAACAAAACTGATGCAGATACACCCATAACAAATCCATCACATTATTCATTCCCTTTTGGGGTAAGCACTGTTAAGCCAAGTGTGGAAAAATAGTAAGCAAAAATAGTAAGCAAAGTAAGTTTAAAAATGAAATTATAGAAAAGGAAAGAAAATAGAGGACACAATTGATAAAAAAATTCACAATAGGCAAAATAACAAGGTTGAAGCTTACAGCATGGCCTTGATAAGTGCACTAATTGATATTAAGTGACTCTCAGGGAAACCATGCCAGGAATGTAAGGCCAGAATTGAGAATCCCTTTTCTAGTTCACTAGCACCTACTTAATCTCAGAAAAAAATGAGAATACGAATACCATTAATAATTGTATGTTTTAAAAAAAGGCTACGCCTAAGTGTACAGGTTCACAGTAGACTTACCAATTAATCATTTTGCAATAATCCACTTCTTACTAATTTGTCTCATCCAAAATGTCTACTTCAAATAAAAATCTGGCTTTATTTTTCTTTTTAATTTTATGAAATCAACAATGTTCCTTCCTTCACCGGGCATACATTTGTATTTTTGTGGCTCAAACTGCTCACTTAGTTTTTATTCTGGAAGAGATTTGAAATTAATTGCACTTGGTACTTGTACTCTTGGTACTCTTTTCTTTGGAAAACAGTTGGGCAAAGACTTAAAGGTTTTCAATAGCAATGGAAATGCAGGAAGAACTTCCTGATCATCACATTGTTTTCGTGACCTCTAAGTCAAACACTGAGCAATTCCAACCGAGTTACTAACTGTAGGCAGACAGAACTTTACAGTTACACTTAGAGATCTTAAACTAGTACCCTCAGGATATACTACATCTGTTTAGTAGAAAGATATCAAGTACAAGGGAGAGACGATAATAGATTCCTTGTACAGAAAGTGTGCATCCTGAAAGACCCACTCTTCAGAAGGCAAACAACTTGTTCTTGTTTTCCTAGTACTTAATCACTATTTGTTTAGTGACCATTCAAACGGTAATAACCACTTGTTCAGTGATCATTCAATCTTACAATGGTGCTGAAGGAGTGGTACTTATGATCTGTGCTCAAAGTTCCATCCATTGCAGTGTTTGCATGTGATTTTTCAGCACCTGGATTGCAATTATGACATTGTAGTGTCACACAGTCACATGTTCGGAATTTGTGACCTTCTTTGCTATCTTCCTGGAAGCAAAATCACTGGCAAAGCTGGCAGGAAGTTGCAAATGCGACCATGTAAGATTGTACTTAATGATCATGTGGGATTTGTTTAACAATTGGACATACAGAACTGCCATGGCTGAATGGCACAGTCATGTGATACTGGGCTTTCCAATTGCATCACTTAATTCTGGTCCCAAATGATGTTAGTAAGCAGGTACTACCTTAAGGTGGAAGTGGTAAAGATGCACAGGAATGTACCAGCTAGGAGCTTTGGTAACTCCCATCTAGACCAAAGCCTGGGCAATATCAGTGCCAAAGCTAATGAACATATTGAATTCTGAACTGCAACTTCTTAAGCTAAATTACTTTCAGGATAGAAAACCAGTATTTCCATCTAGATAAAGGAGTGGCCTGTCACATACTGTTTTGATCTTAACAGGACAGAATTGTCAAGTCTGTAGATGCTATAAAATTTATTGTAAAAGGGAGGCAGCAGCAGAAAGTCCTTGTATATATTAAAGATTGACATTACATAATGGATCTTTTAAAATTAAATAAGCTTTCTGTTCTTTTATGCTTGAAATGTTAATTCTATGTATTTATCCAATTAAATTGATATTCCCTTGGGTATATCTTTCTAGAAATCCATTTGAACTTACTGAAGAATTCATTGAGAATTTCAATAATGCCTCGGAAACAGAAAGAAAGGAAGCATTCACAGATCTGGCTAACAAAATGCTTGTTAGATGCAAGGTTTGTATATGTAGGATTTATAAAAGTTTATTTATAAAGACCATCTGTTGAACCTTAATGTTTAGGGTGCTGTTTAATACTTGAGAATTAATGAAAATACTTTTTACTACATGACATTCATTTTCTTTTTAAAGTTATTCATACAAAGATGTGCAGAAAGGACAATGTTAAAATAATTTGTATTTGGACATCTAAAATGTATAAGTAATTGTCAGGCTGAAAATGCTTGAAATACTTGTTTTCTTTTTATACATAGTCACGTTGAAGTAATTTCATGAAAACAATCTTGGCGGTGAGGAAAGGACATCTTAGTTTTAATTATTGCCTCTTGTTCCAGGAAATGAGGAAAAAGAAATGGCCTGACAGACTTTCCCTTTGTAGTCAAGTTAAATATTGTTATGGCAATCTAGTATAAAAATAAGGCAAAGTTATTCCAACTCTGACAGATTTATGTTTAAAAGCCTACTCCCAAATGCCTGAAGATGTTTAATTGTATTGGTTTGGGGTACCACATGTGACCTCTTCACAAACTGGCTCAGTGCAAGTCATTGCTGAAATGCAGAGCTTGTAATTAATTGCTCTTTATTGCAAAGCACTTCAATTGATGGTAACAATATAATTACACACAGTATTTATCTTCTTATTTAAGTCTAACCTGAGGGATGAAAACATTGCTATCCCGGCTAGTCCTTATATTTTCTTGTCAGCATTTTTGTTTTAAATGTTATCTTTAAGTAGAATTTTACATATGTTGACAATACTATTTTTTTGCACTGCCATTTATCATGTTTCTTTTATTTATTAGAGCAGCTCCATTTTCCAGTCTTGACAAAAGATGCTACTGCTTTAAGAGTCTTATGCATTCCTTAAGCAATGTCAGCAACATGTATTCCAAGCAGAGGGCTGAAAAATGTCAGGTTGCTTTAGATTAGTTTAGTTTACTTTACTTTATTGTCATTACACTTTGTACAATGAAATTAAATACCATCTTCAGTGTACATTATGACTGAAAATAAACACAAACACACATCCTTCAAATTCTATACATTGAATTGAAAACCCCTGATATGGCATTAATATTGCACTATACAATAGTATTGTATGTATTGGGATAGAAGCTGTTTTTCAGCCTATTTAATGAATAGCTCAGAGGCACTACACTTGTGCAGTCTGAAGAATTTCTTCTGAATCTCTTCCGAATGTGCTCATTTCATTAGTTTTTAGTTCATTTCCAAGTCTATTGTTAGCAGTGGAAAAATGGTATTATAATCTTTTGCTTCTTTCAATTTTATATTCTGGACAGAGACGATTGGGTCTCAATGTATTAGGTTGTGGAAAGTATGTGAATCTTCCAATAGGATGGACTGAGGCAATAATGCTATCGCAGTGCAAAGGAGAAATTAGTGAAGGTATGTTGCTTTTTCATTTTAATTGATATACATTTTCTCTTTTTGCTGAACAAATGCTGCTAAATTATGAACATAGGGACCTCATTTTAACAAAGTATTTTGTGGAAGGAAGCTGTTATGTCTGTTCAATATAAAAATACACAATTAGCTAAAATACATCAACATGCTATTGGAATAATGATGTCGTTATGCAAATGACTTAAATTGATGCACATGACATTTGCTTAACATGCAAAATGTTGTTATTTCAGAAGAAGTAAATTGTAAAATTAAATCAATATACATTTTAACTGTCTTGTCTAGACTACATTGGATGCAATTAATCCATTTGAGGGGGACACCTAGAAGGAAATTTATGCTGTTGTATCTAACATCAGTAAATGTTTTTTTCTCTCTCAGATAGAATATGCTATCCCTAAGATTTTGTATCAAGTGTGCTTTGGTCTTAGAATGATTCCAATGGCTTATGCAAATCCATTCTTACACTATTTTGAATTATGGATGTACAACTAGAGGCCTAAAAGCTGTATAGGGCCAATTATGAAGATTAATTGGTTTCTCTGAACAGTTGAAATGTATTTGTAAGAGAAATGGGTTGGTATATGGGTTCTGGGCTGCAAAAATCTGGGCAAACATAAGGAAGGTGGCAAGAAGTAGCTAAAAATGTTAAGGTTTTTCTGCCCTCTACTCTTCTGTATATTTTCTGTTTAATAGGGGCCCAGGAACCAAGAGCTCAAAGTTGAGAGGTCATTTTATGCCATTCAAGGGGCTTCTACTGCCAGAAACCTATTCTGGCCTGAGATTTGTCCATCAATCAGGTTAAAGCTCCTTCAAACCAAGTTTGACTTTGGGAGATTTTATGGAGATGTCTGTAATCTATTAAGCAACAAGTGGATTATTGCCCTTTGAAACGTTATTTCACTTTCAAAGTTCAGTTGATAACCTTAGAATTAATTATCTGCCATTCAAATACTATCTGCTTAGTTTTCTTCTATATCTGCTCAGGATTTTTACTATACTACTGTACGCAATTAACAAAACTATCTTTTAATTGAAAAACAAATAATAATAGAAACAAAAGTAAATAAGTAAATAAATAAATAAAAAAGACCAGCTTGAAACTAAGAAAGTGGGGTAAGGGGGTAAAATTACCTTATATATTAGACTTATCAACAGTCACTGGTTAGTAAAATAGTGACTGTTTAACTTTGTTGTGCTCAGGGAAGTTGGCTAGGTGCAGCCATGGGAAGAATGTCCCAGAATGTGAGACTTCAAGCCCAGATATAATTTTTCAAGAAATTACTTTTGCAGTAAGCAATCTTTAAAATACATTTCAGGTTTTTTTAATCAGATTATTCTGTTCTCGCTAAAAACTACTGAGAGAGCCCTCATAAGTCTAGAAAGTGGTTAACTTGTTTGTCATGACTGAGTCAGTGGTGGTATTCAAAAACTTTTACTACTGGTTCTGTGGGCGTGGCTTGGTGGGCGTGGCCATGTGACTGGGCGGGCATGGCTTTTTTTTGCAGCCCCCACCCGTTTTTGGGAGCTTCTTAGCTACAGAGGAGCCTCTGGGGGGACATTTTTGCTCCCCCAAGGCTTCTCTGGGGCTCAGGAAGAAAAGGAATAGAGCATGGGAGGGGCATGCAGCACTCCTCCAAGCTCCGTTTTGGGAGTTTCCTAGCCTCAGAGAAGCCACTGGGGGAGCGTTTTTGCTCCCCTAAGGCTCCTCTGGGGCTCTGGAAGGCAAAAAATGGAAGTGGGGGCTGAGCTTCTCCCTCCATTTTTTGCCTTCCTGGGCCTCAGCAAGGGGAATCCTGGCACAGCTGATCTTATCTACAGCTGATTATTGGGAGGGGGAAAAAAAGAAAGAAATACCTTAGGCAAATGTCAGGCAGGTGGGCAGGGTGAGCGAGCATCGGGAGGGAGGGCGACTGGTTGGGGGGCGTAGCCAGCCAGAACTTACTACCGGTTCGGTGACCCACGGCAAATTCTTGCTACCGGTTCGCTCGATCCATTGTGAACCGGCTGAATATTACCACTGGACTGAATGGTAAAAGTACATGCCTGAACATGCACAATATGCACTTAAAGTTCAGAATTGTAACTACTGACATCACAATTTATTAATTATATTTTTTGTCAAGGGCCTATTTTCAATCTTTTTGTTTTGTACACATGCTTCCTCCTGTGAAGAAATTTTGACCACTTTTTGAAGATCAGGAAGCCCATGGTCACCTCATCCACTTCTCTTTAGGCAGCCATTTCTTTTTATTTCACTAGTCTGCCTACCGCTAGAGCTGTTTTTGTTTTAATCTCTGCTAAATCGGACATTCCTCCTTCAGTGAAAAACCAAACCAAACTCTGATTCTACCTAACAGCTTGCAGTTTTATTTTTTTTGTAACTACAAAATAATGTACATTCATAATTGTTCCTTTTGATTTCATTTTCAGATAAGATTGCTTGAGAAATTCTTTCTGAATTTAGATGTGAATAGGGTGTAATTTAGCAAAATGTGTAAATACTGAAATAATTTACCTTAAATAATGAAATGCTTTAGTTTTTTCCCAATTATACAATGAATACAATGATAATTGACCCTAAAGATTATGGGGAATTCTCTAAAACATCATTTGTTCTCTGTCTTAAAATCCTTGAAGAACAGAACATTTTATTTTTTTAAAAAATGTTGGTGGATATCTCGTACCTAAGCTTTTGTTTGAATTGACAGTAGAATTAAAATAATTTGGAAATACAGGATAGATTAGAAATAAAGTGGTTGGATAAGGGCAATAATAATGATTGCCACATCCGAGATTCCCTTCCTTGTTACCTGAAATATGTATGCTGGTTGGTGATTTAAAGCTTAATAGTGACCATATTCTATACCTAAGTATGCTACTTTATTTTGTTAGTTTATGTATTTATTCACTGCTGAAATAGAATGGGATATCATTCAAGGAGATCTGTAACAAGATTGTCATGTTTTATCATGGATAGGAAATAGGGCTTTGGAATAGGCCACAGCTTTCCCCCGATAGTTCATTTAAACTGGAGACCAGCATACAATTCTGATGAAGCACAGACTGCTTAATACAGATAACCCTTGAGTTACAGCAGTTCATTTAGTGATTGTTTGAAGTTACAACAGCACTGAAAAAAGTGACTTACGACTGTTTTTCACACTGACAACCATTGCAACATTTCCATAGTTGTGATGAAAATTCAGATGCTTGGCAACTGACTTATATTTATGACAGTTGCAGCATCCCAAGGTCAGGTGATCACCTTTTGTGACCTTCTGACAAGCAAAGTCAATGGGGCAACCAGATTCACTTAACAACTGTGTTACCTGTCTTAACAACTACAGTGATTTATTTAACAGGTAGTAAGTGAGGCAAAATTCACTTAACAAATGTCTTACTTAGCAACAGAAATTTTAGGCTCAATTGTGGTTGAGGATTACCTGTACATTACTGGAGTCAAAAAGAACAAACTTAAAAGTGGGGCTGCAACAGCTCTTTGTTTATTTATGCAAATTAAAATATCTATAAGATTGGATTCATTGATGATAAATTATGAACTAAAGCAGCATATATTAATGAGTAGATTCTATGAAACAATGGGTTGGAACTATAGAAAATATGGAACAAATCATGGTGATCTTGTTTCCCAGAGCATGTGTTTACTTTCTAGGCTTATTCACATTCCTTGACCTCCTAAACATTTTGTGGCTGAGCTGAGTGGGTTTTATTATTTTCAAGTTTCTGGGATGGTAATAGGAGAGGGATACTTGTGCCTCACTTCACTTGTCCTAACTGGCTGTGTATTTTATCCTTTAATATTTCTATTCTTCAATATTCTCAGGAATAATGGAATTACATCACTTTGTGTGTGCTGAGTGTGTGTGTGTGTGTGAGAGAGAGAGAGAGAGAGAGAGAAAGGGAGTTTTAAGTCTGAAACTGTTCTAAACCCTATCAGTGTAAATAATATTTAGATACCTATTGAATTGATTCAGATATGCTCCTCTATTTACAGAAGGCCCTTCAATCCAGGAAAGACATGGAATCAGGAAAAATCACTTGCCTTTTCCATATTTTTCATCTGGCAAATCATAAATGTCTCTAAAAGATTATGGAATTAAGGCAAATATACATGTTCCAGGATAATGTTGCAGGATCCAATCTGGGTCAGTCAACAGGTTATGGAATTGTCTAGAATAATCTTTTTTATCCTGGAATCTTCCATAACCAGAATTTCCAGCCAGCATGACTAAACTGTATCAGTGTAAACTTGTGAGTTTGAGCCCACATGAAAAGGAATTTGACAGATTTGTTATCACTATTGTTTAATAGTTTTTACAAAGCACAGATGGTGATCCCTCAGCTTCCAGAACTCTAAAGCCACTGGAGACTGCTATCTTACAGACTCCTTGAAGGGAGCTACTGTCTAAGAGCAGGGCTGTCAAACTCGTGGACTGTGGGCCAGATGCATCATGTGCTGACCACGCCCATGCCTGGTTTAGCAAAGGAAAAAAGTTACAATATGTCATGTGATGACACTGTGATGACATGAGTTTGACACCCCTGGTCTAGAGTAACTGGGAGTAATCTGTGTCCTTTCCTTTTCCAGAAAAGAATTCCAAGAACTGGTCTTTTCACAGTTCTTCATTCTGCTATACTTATCAGCTCCACTCTCAGTGGAGAGTCATCTTGAGATGAAAGTGGAGGTTCATTTTCCAAGCTTGTGGGTTGTTTCTGAACATTTTGTTACCATACTAGGTAACATCTTACCTACTTTACGGGATGTCAGTGTCAGTGTTCTTCTGCTTATAAAGACTCTGTGTGGTCAGTAGGTTTTCGGATGGGGAGGTCACATCTTGAGTTCTTCATTCTTGGTGGCCCATTCAACTTTATTGAATGGCTTTATTATGCAATAGTATTTAATTCACATTCTAGCATAAATATTTTAGCAACGGTTGATCAAAATTATGAGAGGGATGAGTCTTAATTACATTTTCATCAACATGATAATCAGAACAGACAAACAATCTGGAGGAAATTGATTTAACACTTGTTATTTTGTTCAGAATTTGGCAAGCATTGTGTTGCAGGTGTGATGAGTATTGTGTGAAATATTAAGATTTTGTAGACTTGTAAAATATTAAGACCAATCTGAATTTGTTTTTCCCTTTCCTTTTTTCCTTTAGAAGCTCTTGAGATTCTTGGAATTTCATTGGATCATGCCCCTATTGCTCCAGAACACATCAGTATTTTATTTTTTGTAGCGGAATGCATTTTGTATAAACTCTGTTACGACGCAGCACAGAAACCATATCTATTCTCATGTGAAATCAAATTGTTGAAGGTATGCTATGCTTTTAATATTAACACATTGGTTCCACAGTGATTATATGAACGTTATATGCCAATATCCCTTTAGTTTTCTATGGAGACTTGCTCGTTCTGCAGGACTGGAAAAGAATTCTTAGTTCAGGAACTGCATTTGGCAATCACATTTCAGATACTACCCGAAACACTTTTTGCTTTTCTGATTATTTACTTTTTGCTTTCTTTGTTTTGAAATGTCATTTAAACTTTTTTTTCTAGTAAGTAATGATTTTTGGTTAATAACTAAAGATTTTTATGTTCACTGCTTTAAAGAAATATTACAGAAAAATAATAAAGAAACATCATCTCCCTTTTAAAAAGAAAATGAAACATTTATTGATGAAGATTCTCAGTCAACCAGGCAGAGTTGTCTGGAAGTTGATTCATGGCAACTGATCTTTTCTTTTTTGGTTTGAAAGATTTTGCTGCTTATCCAAGTAGATTCTTCAGTCTGAAGAAGTACTGAGATAAGCAGTGAAAAGTTTCAAAAAAGAAAAAAAAAGGTCCAGTTGCCATGAATCAACTTCCAGACAAAAATGAAACAGTGTAATTGCTAAAATATTAGGATAAACTAAAGTAAGTCTATACTTTAGCAGATATACTGTATATAATTAGTCTCTGAAGACCCAAGTATGGATTAACTTGATATATTAATTTGTAGACTGTTGTTGCTTTTGAACCCAACTCAAATTAAGCATCAGCTCAGAGTTAAGCAAGAATTAAACTTCAAAGACTTTGTACATAAGCAATGTTTTCAGACTTTCAAAATTATGCTAGAGTAGGGAGCCAACCCACCCATTAAATCTGCATTCAGAGTAAAAAAAAAATAACCACATGCAAAATTACATTTCCCTCAAATAATGACAAGAACAACAATCACCTCAACACTTGGGCAATTCCAGTCATTAGATATACAAGAATGTGGCTTGGATAAAGGAGGTGAAGAAGAAAAAAAAAGAAAGCCGAAATGAAAGAATATATAATAACTGCAGAAATGGTGGTGAAAAGATTACGATGAAGAATTGGCCAGAACCAAGAGAAGATGAAGAGCTCTGGGTCTCGATAATTTAAACAGAGAAGCTTCTGCCATTTAATACTTCAGAATTAGTAGCTGTCAATAAGAAAGACAAAAAAAAAACTGGATAGTAGATGCTGCAATATTTATAAAACAGCAGAATAAACGAAATGGAGAAAATCAGAAAATATAAAGACCTCCAAGTAGAAGTAGAATGACTGTGGCAAAAGCAACAAAGATAGTACCAATAATAATATAGGCACCTCGAGTGCAGTTCTAAAACATCTGGAGCATCATTTGAACACCATTGGCACTGACAAAATCACCATCTGTCAATTGCAACAGGCAGCATTATTTGGAACAGCTTACATTCTGCAATGATAACTTTAACATTATCAAACAGCAACATTTGCCTATCCCAGGTTCTTGGGAAAGACTCAATAGGTGGGTAAAACTGCCAAATCCTGTCTAAACATCTGGCTAACTCTGCAGCCAATCATAATAATACATTAAGGCAGTGTAAAGATTATGGATTTTAATCCTTATGCACAACACTGGTTGGGTGACTTTGAACCTATTCTACTCTGTCAACCCTAGGCAGTAATAAACTGCTTCTGAAAAGGTTGTCAAAAAAACTGCAAGATGCAGCTGCCGGGAGTTAAAAATGATTTGAGGACACAACTTTTAAGTTTGTATGCGGCCTACTATTATATTTTCTAGCCTATTAACTTCAAGAAATACATAAACATTTAAAACTCACTGTTACTTATATTTATAAATTACTTGCATGATTACATTGTGGGGCACAAATTAGTACTCGCTTCAGAAATAGCTGTACAAAGCAAAATTTTACCACACATGTTATAGTTTGTATATTGGGTTTTTTGTTTTTGTAAGCTACCCAGAGTCACTGAAAGTGAGTTGGTGGCCATACACATTTCCATAAATAAATAAATAAATAAATAAATAAACAAACAAACAAATTATTAATAATAATAATAATAATAATAATAATAATAATAATAATAATAATAATAATAATAATAAAATAGTCAGAAAGTAAAGGGAACATTAGAACTGACCGAATCTCTGGATGGAGATTATTTCATAGGATGAGGTCCAACATTGAAAAAAATACTGTCTCTGGAATCCCACCTTTCTTATTTACATATTTGGAGAACCTTTTGTGTCCTCATCCGGAACAGTAGCGTGTAATGAAATAGTTCTACATGAAGCAGATAGTAATAATTGAAAACAATGCAAATAAGTCAACAAAAGTTCTAAAATAGTATATTTAAAACATAGTTAAAAAGCTATAGTATAGTACAGAACAGGTGTGCCAAACTCATCTTGTCATGGAGGCATCATGTGATGTATTGGGATCTTTTTCCCTTTCACTAACCAAGGGGTAGGCATGGCCAGCATGTGACGTATCCATCCCTGGGCCGGGAATTTGACAGCCCTGGTATAGAATAACAGTGAGATAAGTGAGAATACATAACTGAATACTTAGATAAATAGATATTTATTAAATTGTTTCTGACAACTTTTATATGGACACTGATAAATACATGGATAGAAAGTTATAGAATAAATACTATGTATGTTTCTTTTGACAGCTTGGATTTTTAGTCTTTTTAAGAATACTTCTGCTATATTTATTTGGTTACCAGAGGTTTTCCAAAGAACACAAATCCAGACTTCACACTGGCTTGAAAGGTACATTTTCTTAAAAAAGAAAAAGTCTGTTTATCTTTGCTATATTGTAACATACTTTGGAATCTTCCTTGACCAACCTAGTTGTGTTACCCCCCCGCCCCCCCAAAAAAAATCAAAAGAAACTTGAGGGCAGATCCAGATTGACATCTTCTATTTACTCCTGCCTATTTTACAGGAACATGAAACATTTGGTATAGGAAATGTATCTGACCTACATTTATATTTTATGACATCCTTAGACTATTTTTATAAGCTGTCCATAAGTGACTGGTTAAAATCTTCGGCAAAAGCAATCTAGTCTTTTCCAGTAAGCATGGGATAGATGGCTGGAGCTAGAAGAAAGAGAGGAAGGGGCAGCACTGGTCATTTCTTGCTCTTCTGCTGGCAAACACACAGACTGACTTGATCTATTATTCTTGATCTCAAGAGAATATAGGCATTAACCCAGGGGTGTCAAACTTGATTTCATTGAGGCCCGCATAAGGGTTGAGTTTGACCTTAGAAGGCTGGAGTGGGCATGGCCTGGTGGGCATGGCCAACTCAACATCACTTGTGTCAGGGGAGCCTATGATAGCCCGAGTGCTCTGCCAGTGAAAACAGGCTTCTGAGCTCTGTTTTCTGCTACAATGGCCTCCAGAGCTGGGAAGGACCGTGGATAGCCCTCACAAGCTCCATCTTTGGCTGAAATGGCCTCCTATAACCCTCTGCCACAAAAACTGAGCTCAGGAAAGCTGTATGCAGCCCTCACAAGTTCTGATTTTGCTGGCAGAGGCACTGAGGACCGGTCCTTCGCTGTTTTCAGGGCAGCCCCCTGGGCCAGATCTAAGCACCCACAGCTGCATTTGGCTCACGGGCCTTGAGTTTGACACCCCTGCATTAACCAAAAGGAATTCTTTTTAAAAGGGACAACTCAAAAGAGAATATTGGCACTCACCAATCTGTTTATTACCATCAATCCAGATTTCCTTTCTTAAGGACTTTCATTTCTTTAATTTGTTTTAAATCTGTTTTAGAAAATAGTGTTTATGATGGCATGTGTGTGTGGGGGGGTGGGGGGTGGGGAAACACGACTTGATATGAAGATCATACTTGGTTTCCTATAATTAATTGTAGGAAGAACTTGTTTTCCACAGTCTGGTCTGGACTCATTTTATAGTTTAAAAGAAAGTTATTTCTGCCAATAAACCTTTCATTGCAAGTAAAAATAACTGTTAAAACAATATGATTTTATCCCAAAGATCAGTTCCAAATTATGAATAGAATTTGATCAACCTGAATTACCCTGAAGGCTTTTTGTTGTGCTGCCATGATCTACATGTTCCACAAGAAAGGGATTCTGCAAAAGGTTAAATAGTGTAGCATTCCACTATTTTCTTAAGGGTTCCCTGAAATTCAGATGTGACAATCTGAGAACTTCATGCTGGTTAATGTGAATGAAAAAGCAGCTAATGGTGTTTGACGACACCAGAATAGTTTTTGCTCACAATACTGGTATTTCTAATGAATGCTAAATATTTCCCTAATATACACCAGATTTTTGGCATACATATGCATAGCCTGCAGTGACTCAGCAGGCTGGGGGAGGGGGGGGGCGGACACTGCTGCTGCTAATATTGCAGTGATTTTTCAAACTTGCCACTGCTTTTGGTTGTCATGGCCACACATTCATTCCCAAAATCAAGAATATAAAGTCAGACAATTAAAAACAATATCAACAATATATTTGTATCTCCCTCATTAAAGGATTCCCCCATATGGAATAGCCGGTATAAAAAAATAATTACACCCCATCCTGCAGTATATTTCTCAAGAAATGCTGTAATATGATATTGGATATATATAGATTGAAAAATGGCAGTGAAAACAACTTGGTCCACAAAATATTTTATTAAAACTAATATATACATTTCATTAGAAATAACTTTCACAGATTTGCGCTATCTTTATTATCTGATTATGTTAGTAATTCTTTAAAGTGTAATTTCAGAAAACTTTACATGTTGCAGCTTTTTGCCATAGCAAATCTATTTAAAAAGAAGGTTCTCATTCCACTTGTAGCAGTAATGATCAAGTGTGTGTTCCTTCATTAGATGTTACTGGACAGCTGTTTTTTACATTGTGTTAAGATGCATTAAATATTGTAATCTATAATATTTTCAAGATGGATGAAAGCTGCCACTGAAATTCACTGACCTACACACAAAACAGCAAGTTGGTACAGTATTAAGCAGATTGCTTATATTATCAGCTTGTTCTGTCTGCTTCATTGTAAGCAGCTGTTGCTTAGAAGAAACACATTCAATCCTTCCATTCAATAAAGGAGACAATAGCCAGAGAAAAATTCTATGTACTGAGATCGAGGGATAATAATTCAGATCTGTAATTTAATATAAACTGAGTTAATTTACACTTTCTACAGATGAATCAGTATGCCTCTACTTCCTGCATTTTTGCCTAAATATTGGATTGCAGTTCTTTTATAAAAGTAGGTATATAAAAAAATAAATAAATTAGGAAACATTGCAGATAAAAAGACAACCATAGAAGACTACAACCTAAACCAACTGTTTTTTATATAGATTTTTAAAAATTCTACACCAAGAGTTGTAAAAAGAAGATAGAGGAAACATTTGTGAAAAATATGTCAATAATATAAGAAGGAAAATGACTTCTGTATCTTATACAGATTATAAAATTCTTCCATTAAAATTGTTCATGTAGTATTTTGTCAATCCACAAGAGGTCACACAATATTTATATATCCATTCTAGAAAATTCTTTGCTAAAGATTCTTTTCATTCTAACAGTGGTTGAAGTTACATAGTATCTAAAATTTGACAGGGCAAACTAACAAGGTATTGTTGTTGTTTGTGCCATAGCATTAGCCGCATGTGAAATGTGCTATCAACTTTACCCAAACATCCTTTTTATGGTGCAGTTTATGCTGAAGGCTGGAGAAATTATCTGTGAAACAGCAGTGGTTTTTGAATCACAATTAGAATCCCAGAAAAATTTAGAAGAAATGGAGGAAGAAACACTTCATGACACAGTAGGTAGCATGTAATTGATATATGGTACATCAAGCAGCATTACCATGATTAAATAAGTATGATTAGTAATTCAGTGAGAACTTTAACAATTGAAGTGGCAGATTGGCAATAGTAAAAAAAAAGTTATGGGTTATCCTGTTCAAAGCCTGGTTCTTTGAACTATTCCCTATCAGAAGTATGTCCCTATCAGATGTATATGTAGGCATATATAGAGATATGGAGAATTGGATCCAAATATTTATCTTCTTAACAGAAGTTTGTTAGTTATGAAATATTGCGTATAAAACCCATTTACCACTAATTTGGGTGGCCTCATCACAGAGACTCAAAATCATAGTTAATCTTGGTTCTTTGGTGGAGCTTTGTCTTTTTTTGTTGTTATTTTCTGAAACTTTTTAGTCCTCAGTTAGAGATGTGCAGAGAGTACATGCTTGCCTGCAGAAAGACAAAATCTGTGGTTCATGAATAAGTAGCTCTAGATCATGGCTGTTAAACTTGCGGCCCCCAGCCCAGATGCATCACGTGTTGGTCACACACCCCGCCTGGTTTAGCAAAGGGGAAAAAAACCCCGATTGGTCATGTGACACTGCTGTGACAACATGAGTTTGACACCCCTGCTCTATATTAAAGCTTAAGATGTTTTAGACATATAATATGAAGGTAAGAGCTATTGAAGGAATTTCTGATGCTTGGAAAATAACAAATTAAAAAAGAAGCCAACAGAAGTCAAACTAGTTAAATGCTATCATGAGTCCTGCCACTAATGACACAAGCAAAAGCTTACAAGTACTGAAGAAACCAGTACTAATAGACCATTCTAGTGAATGATACCCCTTCAGTCACAAAGAGTTGGAAGTGACTAAAATGGAACTGAAAATCTCTTGCCTGAAATTCTGGAAAATTGCTTTTGAGATAGACCTGGTATTTACAGTATAACCTATGCTCTTCTTCAGGTGTATATGGCTACCACACTACATAATTACTAATCATGCTGATAGTGACTTATGAAAGTTGTACTCCAAAATATCTAGAGACTACAATTTACTTATCCCTGTAGTGGACCATAGATCAGGAATGGGAGAACGTGAACTTTTGGATTTTATTTTCTGGCAATTTCAGGCAATATGATCAATGATGAGAAATGTTGAAAACTATCATTTTAGAAGTCAGAGCAGGTTCGCTTCCCCTGCTATTGATAATTTGGCATTTCCACCATTTTTCTCAATGGCCATGCTTTATAGAAGTTGTAAATCAAACTATGTGGTGTAGGGAATCTTGACACCTTCCAAATGATCTGGCTTCAGATAAAACAGATCTTTTAATTTAAGTAAAGAAATCTTTGTGCTCAGATAAAGGAATGTTCACAAATACAAGAATAAAATAATCCACACTTAATGTAGAATAAAATAATTCGGGCAACTGATTGACCTGGATGAGCTCTTCTCTTTGTTACTGGTTTATTAGACTTATAACCCTTCTGGCTGGCAAAGGCTTCCCGAGAGGCGATGTGCTTAAGTTTTAGTGGTGGTGAATTCTTCTTTGAGAGAGAGTATGGTTCTTTACCCCTTAAAGAAGCATTGGTCAATTCTTTTGTCAAGAAGCTGGATTAACATATACTCAGGGGTGGGATTCTGCCAGTTCGCACCTATTCGGTAGAGCTGGTTGTTAACATTCTAAGCAGTTCGGAGAACCGGTTGTTAGAAGAAATTACTGGCCTAATCCTGTAAGGAAGGCAGGAAGGAAACATTCTGGTGTTGCTTACAGAAATTGCCTCTCCATTAACTCTTATTACATTCTTGGCAGGACTAGACTTCCTGTCTCAGGAACTTCTCTGGAGTTTTTTTCCCTCTCCTTTGCTGGTATTTGGCTTGTGTGGAGTGACCATTCAAAGTTACAATGGCACTGAAAAAAATGACTTATGAACATTTTTCGCACTTATGACTGTTGAAGCATCCCCACAGTCATGAGAGGCCAGGCAAGGAGATGCGTGCCTCAATGTGAGTGATATTAAGTTGACCAGGCCCAGCCAATAACATGACCACCAAACCATGTCCACCCAGTCACATGACCACCAAGCCACACCCACCACCTAAACCACGCCCACAGAACTGGTTGTTAAAAAATTTGAATCCCACCCCTGCATATACTGGCTAATTTTCAACCAGTAACCAATGTTCCTTTTTAGGGAAGGTTATTGAGAAATGGGTCATATAGCAGCTTCAGAGGATTCTGTAAGAAGCAGATTAACTGGATTTCTTTCAGACAGATTTCAGACCAGGGTATGGGATTGAAACAGAATTGGCTGTGATTTTAGGTGACCTCTGGTGGGAGTGGGATGGGATAGTGCATCCATTCTTGATCTCTTGGTGGCTTTATTTATTTTATTTTATTTGGTTTGTCAATTGTTTTCAAGATAATAGGTATAAGTAAAAACATAGTTATGAATACATGGATATTGTTAGGAATATAAGTCACCTAACAGGTATTTGGGTTAGAAATATATAAACCAGGATAGACATTTTAAAATTGTATCTTTAAGAAAATGCAAACCTGTAATTCCGTGTGGTTTCTTAAATGGCCATAAGATGGAGCCAGAAACCTGGGTTGTTTAGTCTTAGTATCAGAAGAGAGTGTGAGTCAGTCTCTGTTTCCTTCTGTTGAAAAGTATTGCCGTTCCTCCATTTTTCCTAATTGACTGATATTCCTGGATTTAATGTAAGTCTGTTACTAAACTGTTTTTTGACACTGGACTTTGTTATTGAATTATCCCTGGATTAAAAACTGACTGATTTAACCCGTGAATGACTTTGGACTGCCTATTTTGAACTTTGCTTAAAGCTTTATTGAAAGTAAAACCCTACATTTACTGTACAGTGTATCTGTGTGCTGTATGTGTATTATTCAAACACTACTCTCAAAATACGTCTCCCTGCATGCGCTCATTCTCCTAACAGGGAATTACCTCAACAGACATATATAAGAAAAATAAAAGAAACAATAGGACAGGGATGGTAGGCACGTTGGTGCGCTTATGCACGCCCCCTACAGACCTCTTAGGAAAGGGCTGAGGTCAATAGTAGAAATTTGAAGGTTAAAGTTTTTGGGGTTTGGGGAAGAAACCACAGAGTCAGGTAGAGTATTCCAGACATTGACCACTCTGTTGCTGAAGTCGTATTTCCTGCAATCAAGTTCGGTGAGATTAACCTTGAGTTTGTATCTGTTGTTTGCTCTTGTATTGTTATGGTTGAAGCTGAAGTATTCATTGACAGGTAGGACATTGCAATGTATGATTTTATATACTATACTTAGATCGGACTGAAGGCGGCATAGTTCTAGGTTTTCTGGGTCTAGAATTTCAAGTCTGGTGGCATAAAGTATTCTGCAACGAGTGGAGGAGTGGAAAACTCTTCTTGTGAAATATTTCTGGACTTTCTCAACTGTGTTAATATCAGATATGTAATGTGGATTCCAGACTGATGAGCTATATTTGAGTATTGGTCTAGCAAATGTTTTGTATGCTCTAGTTATTAGTGTAATATTACCAGAGAAAAAGCTACGTAAGATTAGGTTAACAACTCATAATGCCTTTTTGGCTATGTAGTTACAGTGGGCTCTAGCACTTAGATCATTAGAGATGAGTACTCCAAGATCCTTGGCAGAATTTGGATCATCAATAAGGTCTTGACTATTCAGCTTGTATTTTATTTTCTGATTATTTTGCCAATATGTAAGACAGAGCATTTATTTGTTGAGATTTGAAGTTGTGATTTGTTTGACCATTCTGATACATAGTCGAGGTCTTTTTGCAGGGTAGCAGTATTTTCTGTGGTGTTGAATAGCTTTACATCATCAGCGAAGAGAACGCAGTTGCTCTTAATATGATCACAGAGGTCATTTATGTAGAGTATGAAGAGAGTTGGTTCTAGAACACTGTCTTGGGGACACCACTGTTGACAGGTACAGAATTTGAAAGGACACTCCCAATTTTGACCATTTGTTGTCTGTTTGACAGGAATGCTTCTATCCAGTTATGCAGTTGTCCAGAGATACCATAAGATTTTAGTTTTAGGAGTAGTTTGTCGTGTACCACTGAATCAAAGGCTTTACAGAAGTCTATGTAGATTGCGTCTATTGCTTTGCCCTGATCGAGTTGTGTAGTCCATATGTTTTTGCAGTGTAAGGGTTTTTTCAGAGGCTGGGGAGAAAGGAGACACAGAGGGAGAAGAAGCCTGCAGGCATATCTGGGCCTTTCTCGAGGCCTGCAGGAAGCAACTTCCTTGTCCTCCCTTTCTAATTTCCAGCCACCGAAGCTGTCCTCCTACCGGCTGATCGGGCGAACCTCCCCACACTGCTTTGCCCTTGCAGTAGCACTGCAGGGTATCTGGGCCATGGCAATAATCAGGACAGAGTGGGGAGAGCTAATCCCAGCCCTCTCTGCCCAGAGACACCTTATTGCCAGGACACATGGTGTTGAATCCACTGTCCTTTCAACCTGGGCTGAAACTCATACAAGGGTTAAGATTAAAGAGTTCCAGCATGTCAGCTATAAACGGGCTCAAGGCCAAACAGCTGCCCAGGCGCTCAGCAAAAGTGGGCCAATCTGTAGCTGGGCTTGTTGGGTGTCCTCTCCACCTGCCCTCCCTAATCAGAAAGGAAGCAGTTGCCCTACCTGGCAGGATGGAGGAAGACTTCAAGGCCTTTGCACCAGGAACCCACCAGATGGCAAAGCCACCAGGTAGGCCAATCTATGGAGACCAGCAACTCCACCTTGTCTAAAAGCAGGTTCTAGGATTTCATACTTTCCATACCATGGATCATGGTATCCTTCTGGACTGGCTGCAGAAGTTGGGGGTGGCTGGCACTGCATTGTGCTGGTTCCCTTTCTTCTTCCATGAACTGTTCCAGTCAGGTTGATTGGGAGTGACAGATCCTACTCTTGAACTTGACTTTGGGGAGTGCTGTTGGGTTTGATACATTCTCTGCTCCTGTTTAACATTTA